GCCGGATAAATTCAGACGTTTGTGAACGATATAGCGCGGACGTATAATGCGGTATTGACGTTTTCCCTGACCGTTATGGATTATCTTATCTTTATTATTAGCTTAGAATGTCATTTAATAACTCATTAGAGCGATCGAACCCAAGAAATGTCGGCAACAACCAAAACAAACGCATTAAGACGCCTTGTGCGTTACTTCGCTTTGTTTTAAATATTGTTGAATAATTCAAATGAACTAGTTGCGGAATAACACGCTCAGATAATAAATAAAAAAAAAGGTTCTTTATAAATAAAAAAGGTAAGATGCGCTATGATATCCGTAGTTCAGTCAATGTCAATTTTGTCTGAAGGGAGTGGAGATTGTTTTCTTTATCATATAGGTTAATATATTTAGACCAGAAATATGTGCTTCTACAACCCACCTTTGCCTACCGTTTATTACTCACTATGGCTACTGTTCTCACTTAGTTCAATGATCAACTAAGCCACAATCGTTCTCGATAAATATTTTCTTCTTTTATTACTCATTTTTCACAATTAGACCAGCTTTGTACTCATATTTTAGCTATCTCTTGCCGAAATACGTTTATAGTACTATCACCAAATTTTGTTATGGGTGTTAAGATATTATTTCTTCTTATTCGCGCTTTCAACATATACCAAATCACCTCAATCGGGTTAAATATACAATAATACGGGGGTAATCTCAATATTTCATGTCCGTTTTGTTATGCTATCGAATCGATTTTGTAGTCTTTATTAATTTTTTTTATTTTTAATAATTCCAGAAGTTTCTTTTCTCATGCAGCTCTCTTCAAAATATAAATTTAATATATAAATTATATAATAAATGTATAAATAACATATATTTTATAATTATAGTCATATACCTCCGTAATATATACGAACATATCGCAATTTAAGTTAAACTCTTAAGAACGATACATATCGCCTGATGTTAAAATAATCGCATCTACTTATTCGAAAATACCCCGCAGCATCGATGCTTAATCAAACTGAAAACGATTCATTTACGTTTCAAATAACCGTGCTGCGAATGTCTACGGTTAAGGTACTGTACAATGCTTAAATCATCAAAGCAATAGATGCACTATATTTTTGGTCGTATTATGCCAATGACGCATATCTATAATATGGGAAACATACCAACATGTAAAAAAAATATTCATATAATGATGAGTAAGTTTGAGGATTTGTGCCAAAACTTCTTGATATGCGTTATTCCCTACATTATACACACATAGCTTTGGATTCTCAAAAAAGGTTAATAGGGCTAATATAATGTAAAATATAGGGAGACCTGCAAGTCTGTATTAACAACAAAATTTTAATTCTAATGAACATTGCAATATAGCTATTTAATAAACTTCACAACTATTCTACAAAATCAGTAAATTACTTAGTTCTAGATCACCGTATCTAATATGAAATCCAAATACAGTCCTTCATATATAGACAATAAATTTTCTAACAATGGTCGATATGAAATAAATATCTAGACTGAAAATAATTTTAAATATGAATGAAATAAATATTTAGAGTTTATATTTTAATGTGCATTTTTGTGTTAGTTTTTTGTTCGAAAACATACTTTAAAATAGTTCCATTTTATTTTGCAAGTGGGACTATGTATGTATACATTGTAAATGATTTTTGAACAATAAAGAATTTCCATTCTATAATTAAATTTCTTAATTAATTTCTATATTAGCTAATGCTGGGAACTGACCACACACCTCAAACACCTTGTAGTACGAAAAGAAATTCTCGTGTGTTACTTTATCTGATTACGATCAGGCGCGCTGTAATTTGCGAAAAATGTTCTCATTTGGCGAATAATTCGCTGTAATTACAGGGCACGTATTATCGATTGCGACACGATTTATAATCCACGTCTCTTTTAAATCGTTAATACAGAAGTGATATCAAATAATTCAGTCTTTCGGGCTTATACGGGATCGCAAATTTATCGGAGAAAGCAAACCTACTCGTTTTTCAAATTTTAAAATTAAGTTTTCGGTACTTACGTTGCTTAAATGACCGCAAAATAAAACTACAATTGTTTCCAATCGATCCGATCTCGGATGTGAAGCTGCACTTTCTTTTATTCTAACGTAACATCCGGATGGACTCTTTAAAATACGTGGTCGCTGTATTGGGATAAGCAGCAAAGTCGTTCTTCCTTGTAGCGTGTTCTTGTGTGGTCTCGGCGAACAATTAACTCATTTACTTGGTTATCGTTTGGGCGAGCACCTGCCTGGTTATATCGATAACAAATTCGCCATTGGATCGCACGTTCGACGTAATTATTTTAAAACGAGTTTTTGTAGGTTAAATACCTTAAAAAATATTATTTGTCACAATTTCATTCAAAGTTCATTGGACCAAAAAATGTGCAATTTAAATATAGTCTGAATTAAAGAAAATTCTTTCATAAAATCGTGTTAAAAAGGTAAAAAAAGGAGTTTCTAAATTTAAAATTGATGCCAAAAATTGAGACAGTTCCATCGGCCGTACTGGGGAATCCTAAAGAGTCGAATGCACCCTTACCATCACATTGTGATCCTAATTACTTAGCTGAAATTATCAATAACCTCCTAAGCCAATATGATTCGCAGGTCTATCCAAAATGAATGAACGCGATGAATGAAGGCTAGTGAGGATAACATTATGTTCAAAATGCGTTTGAATAAAATTCCTTCTCCATCTGCTGCTTACACCTTTTTATTTAATAAATACTTAGTCCAGGGTATATTACCTAGCGCGTGGGAGGAAGCTTAAATAATCGCTATGCCGAAGAATAACTCCGCTTGCTTCCTACCATTTCTAAGATTTTAGAAACCATCTTGGCAAATCCATGGAATGAACCTCCACCCTAAAAGACAAAAGATAAAAGATATTTTTTGTGTTGGGAATAAAAAGTTGCAAAAGTTCTTGTTGTTCTTGGAACTGCTTGTCTGAATGTTCTGATTTTAAATTCTATATATGCAAGACAGAATCTTCAAAATTGACATTAAGCTTAAGGCGCTTTATATTTCTTGCCACGATATCGTATATTGGTTAATGTTTACCTCGCAAAGGACACAAAATGCGTGTATATGATTTTGTTAAGATATTCGTAAACATGATTACGATCAAGGAATTTCGTGACCCAGTCCACAAATTTAAACATGATCCAAAAGGCTTCTGGCAAACCCTGAAATTCCTTAATGTTAATTCTAAGCCCAGCTCTACGAATGATGGCTTCTGTACAGCTGAATGATTTAATAAATTTTTCATCGACAGTGTTTCTGAAGTGCACTATGTAAACAACGATATTATCAATGAATGCTAAGATAACAATTAAAACAGTTTAAAAATAAATTTTCATTTTCTGAAGTGACTGAACAGACAGTGGAGAAGGTCAGACAATAACTAATGCAAAAGGTATCTCTCACTCGTTCTTCTCCATCTCACACCTCATATAACTTTTCCCATTAATAAATGTATTGTTTTATCAAAATTTCCTTTCTTATGGAAAAAGTCTCACGTGCCAGCATCCGTGCCAGCATCTAAAGTTCTCTCTCCAAATAGTCTCTCACACTTTCAGCCAATTAGCATATTGTGTTCTTTGACCAAAGTAGTAAAGAGGGTCATAAATTAAATAAATGGTATTTTACCATCCAATCATGTTTTCGTGCGGGCCATAACACCGGACATTAGCAAAAATACAAACTTGATACTCTTGGACTTCAGCACGGCGTTCGATACTCTAGATCACAGTGTACTTCTCAAAAACTTTGAGTATTTTGAACTGAGCCATTCGGCTGTGCAGTTCTTTAAGAGGTTTTTGGAGGCCCGATGCCAGAGATTAGTGCTGAGTGGTAATGTTTCTAGTTTTATTGCTACTAAGAAATGAGTACCACAGGGAAGTGTGTTGGGACCATTATTGTTTTCAGTATATCCAGCATATTTTTCTTATCATGTCTTATCAATGACATGACATGCAGATTTATTATCCATTTTATGAAGATAACGTAGATGATGCAAGTCATTATATAAATACAGATTTAAATACAGAATCTGGGTCGTCTTCGGCTCACGGTCTGCTTCTTTACTTCTTTTTGGCCCTAATAGAGGCCCTAATTAATTATATCTTTAATATAGTTTTAAATAATGTTAGGTTAGTACTGCATAACATTAACATTAAAAAAAACATTTTTAAAAATGAAAATGCTGTGTATGTTTACGGACATTCTCACGACGAACATTCGACTAAAACTGTGTGATTGTCTAATACTGTCGAACTTGGGGTATGGAGACGTTATTTATTGGCAGTGTCTTATTTTAAAAAATAAAGTATGTCTTGCAAAAATTCAGAATTCATGTCATATTAGTGACTAACTAAAACAGTCTAAGAGGTTAAATCTCTCTGAAATGTATTACTTTAAAATTAACAGCACTGCAGAGCCCTCTTATTTATTTAACAAATTGTTAAAAGAGTCTAACATTGACCACGGTACCTCGAATTGTACTCTGTTCTTAAGCACAACATTGCCACGTTTCAGAGATCTTTCACTTATTAAAGTCTATAATGATGGCCCTGCTGCTGTTAAAGAATGTCCATCTGTTGTTTGAAAATAAGTTCAAAGATATCAATGAGAAGATGAGTCCCTTCATTAAGTATATAAATAATTAGTCTATTTTTTAATTATGTATGATTGTAATTATAATTCCTATAATGTTTTCTCAAGGGTTGTTAGGTGAGCAGCAATGCTGGAGCCTGCATTGTGTAACGTATCCCTCCAGTAGCAATAAAGACATGTTGAATTGAACTGAATTTAAATTGCCAATTCTGACAAACTGACACCGAAGGCAGCGTCGACTGCGAAATTCAGTTTTAGAATGTGTTGACGTTTTGGCGAATGCCCTTTTTGATCTTTCATGCGTTAATAAACAAACGACAGGTTTATTGAAATGTTTTGTTTTTCTTTGTTTCAGAGAACAGTACATATTCGGGGTGTTCGAAGCGCTCATCTCCACGCTAGAAACCAAACTGCAAAGGATTGAAAACCTAGACAAAGCCGTCGAACACCTTATGAGACGCGTGGAAGGTCTCGATTCGAGAGTGAACAACAACATAGACAAGACTGAATCAGTCATATCGAAGTTGAGGGTCATAGACAACAAACTTTTTCAAACCTCGTTTGATAACGGTGGCAAGATCGATCCGTTGCCGGAAGCGGATGCCGCGACATTGGGGAGACGCTTAATTTCGCTGGATCAAAAAGTCAGCGACATCGACAACAAGTTAAACCTTCTCAAAAATCAGCTCGACGGTAACTATTTACAAAACGAAGACTTCAACGCGGAAGCAAGTGAAAAGAAACCCGTCAGTATGAACGTCGTTGAGATAACGAAAGCGCTGAATACCGAAGTGTTGAATCACGTCACTAAGGAGCTGAGCCAGTTGAAGGAAATAAACAGCGTCTTGGACAAAAAGCTCCAGTACCACGTGAACTACGTGTCAGACAATTTGGGACAAGTGTTAAGTTTCATTACCGATATTCACCACGCCATAGTTGACGATTCGAATTCGTATAAACTAAAATATTACAACCGTACAACTACCACGACTACCGCGATACCGGATTTGCCGAAATCGAACAAAATCGACACTTTGGTGCAGCAAATGAAACCGATCATATCGGTATCCGAGAAAATGGACGAGGTGTGGAACGTGGTGGTGGGCACCAAAAGCTCCGTGGACGATTTGGTGCCGAAATCGGACGAATTGCTGACTCAGACACAGAGACAAGAGCGTGCCATCGGCGAAATACATAACGACTTGCGGTCCAAAACTAACAAAATAATTGCCAACTTGGACAAAGTCGAAAAGAGACTTAAAAAGCAGGAAGACGATGTCGCCACATTGGCTCAGAGGCCGGTGCCCGCTGAAATTTTGCTTTCGGACCCGACGATAAACGAAGACTACGACACCACGAGATTCGATGAAGATTATTCTACTGATACGACGCTTCCTGTGTCGTACACTACGCAGCCACCCAATTTGATTCAGAATGGGCTGGGTAACAACAGTTTTGCAACTACAACGGAGAAGAGGATTGAGAAAAGGAAAGGAGGAGTTATATTCCCAAGTGTTAAGAATAAGCCGGCTCCTATCAATTCGACCTTTGTTACATCAGATATCGTGCCCAATATTAGGGATATTAAGGTGAGTTTGTCTTATTCCACTTCCTAGCTTAGATATACCATTTCACATCGTTTGAATCTTGATATGCGTTAAAATTCATCCAACTCTTATCATCACAGTAATCCACAAAATAAAAAGCAGGGATGTAATTAGGTATCTATTTTTTCAATAAGCGGTTTTATTGTTTAGTTGTTTAGTATTGTTTATTTTTGCAAAATCTTTATAATACCCATCAATGGGTTATATTATATAGTCGGTTATATATATGTATATATATATATATATATATATATATATATATATATATATATATATATATATATATATATATATATATATATATATATATATATATATATATATATATATATATATATATATATATATATATATATATATATATATATATATATATATATATATATATATATATATATATATATATATATATATATATATATATATATATATATATATATATATATATATATATATATATATATATATATATATATATATATATATATATATATATATATATATATATATATATATATATATATATATATATATATATATATATATATATATATATATATATATATATATATATATATATATATATATATATATATATATATATATATATATTTATGTATATATATATATATATATATATATATATATATATATATATATATATATATATATATATATATATATATATATATATATATTGTACTATCCATTACTTAAATTAAAAAAAGTTGGGTAGACTCCTCATAAATAATAGCAGTAGCATAATAATAATAATAATAAATAATAATAGCATAATATACAAAATTGTATATTATGCAACAAGTTTGATAAACGCCATTTTAGTCACGATTTTGTTTTGGGAAGAGCTGAGCGCAGCGCGCCGAGTGTTTAAAAAACGACGGTTTGAAGAATTTTATCAACGTATTGCCTATACAAACATCAAAAGAGCATCAGTGTTTATAATCTACAAAAAACATCAGACCGTTTCCAAATTCGCAACTAAAGTACCGAAAAAGTGGCTTGTGATGGTGTTTAAGCCTTTAAAGTGACATTTTCCGCAGGGCTTGATTGTTGCATAATTGGGTATTTTACAGTTAGGGAGGAGAAAAATACATGTAGCACCTTCAATAAAAAAAATCATTGGCTTAAAGCTTGGGATGCACAGAATTATTCACGCCACACGCCATGATGGATTTTTCAAAAGTTTTGCATTTAATACCATAATATTTAATTTTTTAAATTATTTTCATATTACAAACGATATTTAGACTGTAAATTGGGTCTAATTTTACTATACAGCGTGTTCCTTTATGGTGTGTCAATAATAGAGGGGCTAATGCTTGGGTTCATCGAAAAAAAAAACTTTTTACGTGGTGGTGGTTCAACAGTTTTCAGAATAAGGTGATAGCTTACCTCAGAATCGATTGCAGACATTTCTCTAAAATTTGTCTATTCTTTAGTCTATTGTCTAATCTATTCCGCGCATCAAAACATTTTCAAGTGCATTATTTTTTTTTTGTTTCAGTCACTTCCGTTTGCGATGTTATATTTCACCACCTATATTTTTTAAGATGAACATTTTATTTTGATTGTCTATTCATTTCTACAAAAAAGTTACCTCTTGTATTTTTCTTGTCCGATGCACCATTCTTTTTTAAAATAAATCAATTAAAAGTGATATATTTCGCAACACTGGCCAATAATTTTTGAAGATACAAATCTTGTTAGTCTGAAATAAATTACACAAATATTCTATCAATATACTACATTACACGAATGCGAAAATGGCATCATCCTGTATCTCAAAAGTTAAGACGCTAATAACTTGCGTGTATGGGAAGGTTTTTTATAAAATATATACAGTATATACAGAAAATGAAAAGGGACACCCTATAGATCTATTGGATAATACAGAGGCGGCAAATACGATAAAATTGTTACATACTGGGCGGCTTTGAGATTTTAGCACATTTTTTGTGCACACGATCCAAAATTGTCATTAGCACTTGGTTGTTATTTTTCCCAATAATTTACATTTTTGATTTTTTAAAATATCTACGTTGCTCCGAGAAGGTTGAGATATCTAAGGAAGATGGTAGTCAATGAGTTCTTATCACCAATATCATAAAGTCCCATCGAGCCCGCTCCATTTAATTGTAATTAAGCATTTTTTAAAAATTTGCAGCCTCCCACAAAAACCGTTCCCGACGGCAAACGGTATAACTTGGATAAGACTTTTTGGTATTGTCAGATAGAAAAAGGACCAAAGTATGTCACGTATAAATTTGAAATTCTCAAAATTATAAATAAACGGGATATAAAAGTTTCAAAATTAATCATCGACTTTCGGATCGATTTTTCAGCCCAAAATGGGATTTCGAGGTGATTTCTCAAATGTGGATAAAATTGTCTATAAATTATCGACATTTTTTTTAACCAATATTTCGTCTCCCGGAGTAGCTAAGAAACTTAGTATTAAACACGGTGCAATAAGAGACGAAAAAGCTTTGTTCGGGACGTAACACTCTTAACGATCTCTTGGTGTGGCTTTTGCACAGTTACCTGCGGGTAGAAATTTTCCCAATGATGAACAGATAATTTATATATGAAAGAGACCGGCGGTGACAATAACAGCAAAACGCAGCTAAACCACTTAATTGGAATGATTTACGAGCACGGATTATTTGAACGCACCGTGTAAGCCTCTTAGAATTAACCACGGGCTCGTTATAAATTTTACACGTACCCGATACACTGTCAAGTTTTTTGTGATAATAACATAATCCACGTAAACCCGGGACAGTTTGAAAACAACGCCGCACCGTCCCGATTATAGGCATATACATGAGAGTTCGCATTAGAAAGTTTAAAGATTCTGGGCTCGTCGCAACAACATTTTTGGTCGATGATGTTTTTTCATTGATGTTAACATAAATTTGAATGATGTGAAAATAATAAAATAAACATAGTATTAGTATATGAAGAGTACAGGAGGAAAAAGATGAGGGTCCATTTTTTCACCTAACAGTTATTTCGTATAATATATCGGCTATAGAATACCTATAAGAAATGGCTAGAAAGATGACAGTACAAAGATAAACAGAATTACTGGGCATAATAGATAAAGGTACCAGAGGTTGTGCGCAAGAAAGATAGGAAATGGCAACGTCCTGCTATTTCGCCGGCTTATGATCGTAAATAATGTATGTAGTTTAGTCCTTTGACGTTGAAGTTTATTAGTGTAATTATTGATTATTCTGTTTTCAAAGTTTTGTGGCGTATTTCTTGTTGTGAAATAATGGCCGAGCAATAAAAAACAAGGAACAGAAAATCCTATGGACGAATGCATGATGTAAATAAAAAGTTACTCTTAAGTAGTCATCAAACTGGACAAGACTGCAAATGTTCAAAACTTAAATATTTCCAAAATCTCACTGCAGCCGATTTAAGCACGATCATGTCTAAGTTTAATCAACTACAAAGTTATGATGAACAATCCTTTTATCTAAATGGTTTAATAACGTGCAAACCTCAAACCTGTAACACGCAATCGTCCCAGGAAATCTGCTCTAAAGCTATAAAGCTTTTTTAGCCTTACATGGCATAACGGCAAAAAGGCTGCAAACTATACAAAGCGGATTGAAAGTAAAGGGTTATGGAACACATTAGATGTTTTAAGAGTAGAAAATCTCACTATGGCTTGGCTAAAGCAACAAAGGTTTATTTATCTACGCTCATTATTAAGAAAATGTACTCTATGTACAAAGAAAAATATCCTGATAAATTAGTTTCTTATGAAAAATATAGAGAAATATGCAACACCAATTTTGAGTACCCGCTTGTCGTACATGTGATGAGTTGAAAGTAAAAATTGATGATCACGCAGAACGGCGAAGGTTGCAAGTTGAAAAAGAACTACATTTGAAATGAGCAGACACCTTATATAAACGTAAAAAAGCTGCTAGGCGTTTAGGCCCAAAAAGACAAAACAAGGAGCTATTGTAATTGATTTTCAAAAAAACCTTCATCTGCCGAATATTGCAGCTAATGACACGTATGATCGTAGACAACTTTCGTTCTACATGTGCAACATATATGTCCTTTCGACCTCTGAAGCTCTTTTCTATACTTATACTGAAGTGTCAGGAAAAGAGGGTTCTGATGGTGTTTCTTCACTGCTATGGGATTACAATTTTAACCATCTGGATTTTGATGTCAAGAAGCTTATAATATTTTGTGATTCATCTTTTTTCCCCTGTACTCTTCATATGTGCACTTTAGCTAGAGGTCTTCGTTTAAATTAGATCTTTAGTTTTAGAATGCAATAAGCGCAATATATGTTTCAAAACGGTCGATACAGAATAACCAAGTCCATAAAGATTGTTTCAAAAATATTATGTGTATTAAAATTTATATTACCTTTCTATAAACCAACACTGGTTAAGATATCAGAATGCCAATGCACTAAGTTTGATAAATAACAATGTAGTAATGAGTTTGTTTTGAAACGAGTGGGGCTAGTGTTTTTTAAATGATTGGATGAAGAAGTTTATCAACACATGCTATACCATAGAGCACGAATTCTTTAACTACACGACGTGTGAAGTTACCCTCGAAACTGACAAATGTCAAAATACTAACATCCGCCAAATACGAGAAATGGAAACTGGAAACTAGAAGTGACTCGCTGCAGTAGTTAACTAAGCTGAGACCATCAAGTGACACACACACTTCCTCGAATTATGTTCAAAAATATTTGATTCACCTGTCTCACTATAACTTTGAATTTTTGTTTCCTACTGTTCTTCAACATTTTATTTTTGCATTCGTTGTATAAAATGCTTTCTAAATATCAGTTTAGTTTTCTGTATCGTTGAATAAGACTTGACTGGATAAGCATGGGCTATTTCAAAATATTCAGAGGGTATCGGCTAATCAGATGTTATTTAACAAACTTTGACATAGAAAACTAAAGAATATATAAGGTTACTTTTTTATTAACCAATTAATTGGGTTTAAAACAATTGAGGAAAAAAATTGCGAAACTACGTCCCACAAAGTATCGCTTAACGCTAAAATTTCCGCATTGAATTTTAGCTGGACTTACGGCAACACTTGTACATTCTTTTAGCTCTCGTTCGTTTTAAACGTAAATTGCGGTTTTAAATTCTTCGCAGATATTTCGGTCAATTTACTGCGTCGTTTTGTTTTTTCAATTTCGTTCGAAAAAGAAAAATGTCCTCAAACACACCGTTCACCTATTATTGCAAGACTCTCATTGTGAGTTTCGCAAGGTTTTGGAAAGCATGTTTAGGATAATTATTTAAATGCATCTGCATCGCAGATTCTAATCGCGAGAGATGCACGGTTAATAACAACCTTAATTCACATTTTTGGTTAGTCGTCGGCTAAAAGCGCATAATGAAAAGGTTTTAATGCTAAAAGTCGCGCCATTAGTTTCGGTTCGTTTTGCAATATGGCGATCCGGTAACCTAGGTATTACCGACCCTATAAGGTATAAAATTTAGGATGAGAGTAAAAATTGTATTTTAATTTTGAGAATGCTTTACTGTTGACATTTTTTGTCCACCCCTTTAAATATACAAGTGCGTCCAAACCATTTTCCATTATGCGCCAACTTTTACCGCGTTTAAAAGTTTAGTTCTCGAAATTGTTATTTCTCTATAGCTCTGTTTTTCAGATATCGACACCCATAAAAGCGTTTTACGAGATTACGATTACGGGTAATGATTTCTAAGATAATGTATTGTAATATTTTATTCCAAGCCAAATAGAAATGAACACATTCACATTGACATTAGCTTTGATATTTATTAATCTAAATGTTGTTCTGCTACCTTCTGTAAAATACCCGAGTATACACCGAGCGAGCATGTGGAAAATGTTATTTTTCTACTCCCGTCTATAAAATACCTAATTACGCACCGATCTAGCGTGCAGGAAGCGTCGCTTTACTACGTCAGTTAGGTTTCCCACGAATCCGAGCCACTTCGGACATTTCCGGGATTTTACCGCACGGATTTGGGAGCAATCGGATATTTTCGGAGATAATTCCCACGCTTTGAATTTTGACGTTTGTCAATTCTAACGGCCATCTCAGTGAAAGTATTCGTGTTGTTTTACGAAAATTTACCCAAAAACTAACGGTCGTAGAAAAAGTATAGTATGCAACACGTTCGCTAAACTTTTTAAGTCACTCGTTTATTAAACACTCGCTCCACTGGTGTCAAATAAACTCGTGAGTCAAATGCCGTTTACCGAGCGCACTTGTCGCATAATATACTATTTACGACGTCAGTTTCGTTGCTTACCGCTGCGAGTCACTTCGGATATTTCCGGGATATTACCCACAGGTTTTGGAGCAACCAAAAATTTTTTCTGACGGTCATGTCACAAGTCATGAATACTGAATGTATTCATGTTATTTTGCAAAAACGTACCTAAAAACTAATGGTTATAATAAAAATATATAATATGCAAATCGTTTGATAAACTTTTTTTTCTGATAGTTGAGGTGGGTTGCGACATAACAAAAGGCGATTGGGACATGTCATACACGACATATTACTCGACTTAAAAAAGTGCGTGAATAATGTTACATTTTTACAGCTGTCAATTTAACCGGATCGGATGTTTTCGGAGATTTTACCGCACGACTTCAATTTGGACGTTTGTCAATTTTGACGGTCATGTCAGTGAATGTATTCGTGTTATTTTGCGAAAATGTACCCAAAAACTAGCGGTCGTAGAAAAAGTATAGTATGCAACACGTTCGGTAAAGTTTTTAAGTCACTCGCCCCGCTCGTGTCAAATAAACTCGTAAGTCAAATGCCGTTTACCGTACTTGTTGCATAATTTACTATACGTCACTCGTTGCCGTTTACTAAACTTGTTGCATAATATGCTATTGACCTTATATAACATAATATTCACATAATGAATGCATTAGTAAACTGTCGCTTATTGAAATATCTCATTGTTGCTCCCCGCATATGCCTAAATCAAATTCTTGAATGAAAGTTTGTCACTTAGCTTTGTTGTCGAAGGTTTAATCTACAATTCACAAAAAAAATCAAATCAAAATCAAAATCAGTGGTCTATTTTTTGTGCAGATGAGCTTATTAAAATGCAAATATATCGAAAACGGCTTGTGAAAAATACCATGCAATCATATTTGCCGAACTTAAAGAACCAAATTCAAGTTTTCGTTTTGATATATTGAAAACAAAAGCTTGCACTAAAGAGAAATTGCAATTTCGACAACTAAACTTTTACACCCTATATCTCACTAATGAACGATATTTTACTGAAGCATATTGCGTTCAATAGCATTATTTCCTCGAGTTTATTCTAGGTATGCCTTTTGACTCATTCATTACGGATCACATGGTTTTATTCTGTAAACTTTGACACACAATAACGCGTTTTACCACAAACCGAAACTGAATTTTACGTACTCGAAGCGCGTTTCGCCAACCAAGTTGGCATCTTCAGGAGAAGATTACGTAAAATTGAGTTTCGGTTTGTGGTAAAACGCGTTATTGTGTGTTAGTGCAGTGTCGAAGGTTCCAGTCAAGAGTTTGACTGTAAACTTTGGTTTAAGTATTTGTAGTATTATGTTGCATAATTACAATTATTTTATTTGCTTCAGGGTTATTCTTGTGCTGATCTTTACACTGCCGGAATGAGAAATTCTGGAGTGTATTATCTACAAATTAGAGGAACGACATTTTGGTTCCTGAAGGTCTACTGCGAACAAGAAATAGCGGAAGGGGGATGGATAGTAAGTTAATGTAAAGCAGGAACTTGGCTAGTTTTGACGTAAGAAAATTGTTGCACCGGCATATAGTCTTACACAACGTTTAACGAGAAACGAGCAAGCAATATAGCGATATAATAACCCAAAAATGTCAAAATTAATTGAAACATATTTTTCGCTATAGGACTGTTGTTGCTTGCATTTTAAGAAACAACCTAGGGCGTTTACTAGAAACATTTAAATAAGAACGCATTAGAGACCGGTAGCTGTCATGTTACAGTTGAGTTCGCGCATCTACACGGTGGATCAGCTTAATTTATAAATTTTATTATATATTTTTCTTAGCAGCGCATTTAACAGAAAGTATGACGAAGTACGTGAATTACCTGTTTGCAAGTACGTGAACTACATCTTGCATTACTACGACCTTTATCATGTCGGTTTATTGGCTACTGTACGGAATATTTAAACACTGCTGACTCCATTTCGTTATGGCAGGTTCTTGAGCGAGCAGGTTCTTCTTCTATACTTGCCCACATTTCCATCCTTCTCTTTTTTATTGTCTTAACTATTTCCTATTCCTTAATCATTCTAAGGACTTCGTCATTGTTTCTTACCTTTTCCACCCAGCTAATTTTTAGGAATGAAACTTAACTAGTTCCAAATGACAAGCAAACAATTTTATTCGGGCTTAATGACTTAACAATTTTGTGGTTGTGTCATTTCTTAGAGGCCCTTTGCTGCATAGTGTTTCTCCTGCCTATACTCAGTGAAATGCTTCTAATGGTTTTGAGGCTGGGACAAATTTTGTTTTGAATACTTTTGGTTAGTTCCAATCAAATTTTCTTATTTTTTATTGAAATTGTCTATAAGTATAGGTATTTGTAACTAACTATAAAACCGGAGCACAAACCTGGAAATCAAAAAGTATCACACGCCTTCTTCGCTCTGTGTTCTGCAATTGTCAATTTTTCGTTTTCTCCCAATCCGTGCTTTCTTCGGTGGTTGTCGATGCCAGTCATATTTTGCAAACATTTTAGGTCTATTTCCCGAGTTTCCCAATTTTTCACTAGGGATTGTGACTTCAAATTGTACACGCACATTCTGTTGGTGTTTTCGTGATTCCACTCTTCTCACTTGGTTGCTGGTTGAACGAACTTAAACTTAACAATCGTCAAGTTTCCACAATCATTTAGATTAGCCCAGGACAACCGCAGCTCACATTGCGCCTTATTCTGCTACGAGAATCTTAATGACAAATCGTAAAATCATACAACTACAAATATGGACACACTATATAGTGTTATTAAATATTATGTACCATACATAATCTGTTCACGCCCGCATGCCCATTTCTGCCAAGTATAAAACAAAACTAATCTAATTATTTTCTTTTGCAAAGTTCATTTTCCACTTGACTTAATGCCTGCTAAATGTCATACAAAATAGCCCGATATTTTAAATTACTTTTTTGAGCATGTAATCGGGGTCGAGGCAGTTATACGCATCTACAACTTTTTTCTCACCCAGGTAATACAACGAAGGAACGATTTCGGAGTTCCGAGAGAGAACTTCAACAGGGATTGGAACGACTATAAGAATGGTTTCGGAGATCCGGGCAAAGAATTTTGGCTGGGAAACGAAAATATCTACATGCTAACAAACAACGAGGAATATTCGCTAAGAGTTGAACTAGAAGATTTCGAAGGGAATAAAAGGTAATTTTTGGATTCCTAATAATGGAAATAAATTTATGCATGTCGAATAAGTTTGTCTATTATTTGGGTTGTTGCATGTGATGCAAGCGCGCACCACCGACACTGTCAAATATAATTCATTCGAGTTTCCTATTGTCGATATACCGGATATCCCCGTAAAGGCAACCAGATAGGGTATAGTTCGGCTAACGATGTACCGTTTTTGCGACATAATCCGGTATTTAACTTTGGTAAATTTTTATGAAGGTTTAACCGCAGGCCTACCCCGCTCAATAAATTTCTCTCATTTTCTTCTTCGATGACATGTCCTAAACATTTTTTCCAACTAGAAGCAGATATTTTTCTACTTAACTTTTCTCACTTAACTTCCTCGTTATGACCCCACTTTCCCCAGATATCGATTTCAGAAGCAGAAAAACATTTAAAATTATAATTTTGACAACAACCGGCAAATGTGTCCGAGTCTTTGATCCATTTGAATTTGACGGATCTTCATCATCGCATGTGACTAACAAAATTGATTAATGTTAGTAGTTGGTAAGAAATAAATTGTAATAAGGTAATACACTGAATCTTGAAAAATAATTGAATAACTGTAACGTGGTAATTACTAATTACAAACACAAGACGCAATAGAAATAACTCCAACTCATAAAACTGACAGCATACTCCGATTTCACCAACCCCCACGAATTAACCAATAGGAAGAAATTAGGAAGATTTATAAAAAGCAAAATGTAACAGTTTAATTCAAAAAATCCCTACTCTTAAAATACATCAGTCCGCACGGCACAGTTCTTGTCGGCTAACATCTTAAATACGGCCCTCGCTTGTGGTACACGTGCTGAAAAGAATGATCCCTTCAGGTTTACAACATGGAGGTCTTAAACTCATTCCGTAGTCAAAACCATAAAAGGTTGTAAAAATGGTATATTGTTGGGCGAACTTAAAAAAAATAAGTCGGTGAAGAAAAAATGCTCAAAATCATTTTAGAGGTTCTAAAATAGAAACCTCCATATACCGTAGTTAGAATGGGTACTCTAAAAACCGAAACAAATTAATTTTGTTTTGTATAATTTTGTATAAAGGAGAGGTAACTACTAATGGAACGTGTTCGAACATTTTCTGAAATGTATTTCCATGTAACTTTAAAAAGGTTTAACGCATTTTAATAAACTTGCAGTAGCTAAAATGTGTTTTTCGAAGGCTTACGTTACCAGTACATGGAGCGCAAATGCAACAATATTACAACATTAAAGAGTCAAGCAATATCTTTATCTTAACCTAAAATAAACACAAAAGAGTTTTGGATAGCAGCTTCCAATTTAAGGGTTGTTACTTTGTATTGTACAAAAAGTAATAAAGATAAATAAAAAAAATTCATTACAATTAAATGTTATGTTAAATCCTAAATAAAAAAATATATTTTTTTAAATAATTGACTTACAACTAGACATGAATAACAATCCCTACAAAATTCAACTTTTATTTCTGTTCTTTTATTTATATTTTAAGTTCGGATAAAGATGTTGAGATGCGATTTTCACTGTATTGTTAGTCTATTGACGATTTTTTTTATGTCAGAAAAATCACACTCCGAGTTCATTAAAATGCATTAATTGGAGCTATCGACAATTATTTCCGTGTTCGAACACCGCTCACCAGTTTTTTTAGAGAGATAAAGCAAAGCAATGGACCAAAAAAAGTTTGAATTTTTGCAGAAAACGGGTTTTAAAAGTCAATATGGCAATTAAGCCCCCTGGTGGACATTTTAGGAACTCGAAAATAATTTCCAGGATTTTCTATTCACAGATTTATTTAATGTTTTTTTTTTTAAGTTTTTAGTACCTCTCGCTTCCTCATATAGTACCTTACAGCCTTACAGCGGGTATGTATATCGCGTAGAATCTTATTTGTCAACTAAATCCGAAATGACCCGCACCCTGTATGCAAATGGCGAAAGGTAAATCTCAATACTGAACGTACTGCAATATCTCATTAGGACAAATAAAATGACATTTTAAGACGGCAGCTGCTGGCGACAGATTGTAATGAGACTCCCATGCGTAACGAGTCGTACGCTTAATAGAATCTGGTCGAGAATGTTGATTCAAATCTTACCTAAGATGCATTGGTCACCTTATAATATTTCCATTAACGCAAAACCAAACCAAAAGCATCAATCCTTGTACGCATGTAATTCTATTTTTTTATTCCATGTCATTAACCCAACAGCTTGTTTCTGAAACTCATCTTCTGCAAAGAATCGAGAGATTACCTTGGAATATTTCTTCACTGTCGGTTTATTAGGACAAAATCGATTGCGTCATTTAAGAATGTAATTTATTTACTTTTAGATGATATTTCGCGTACCAATATGCAAACGGTTTTTGTAAATATCCCGTAATAGCTTTGTTTTTTTCGTGTCGGTTAAACCTATTAATAGCACAGATGAGAGGAACATAATGTTGTCAGACGTTTAACAAATATTTTTCTAATAGGTGCTATTACTTAAAATATCAATCGTTCGTTTTGTTGCGTATCAAGTTTACTTCTTGATTGATTTTTTAAAATCAATTACCGGGCCTGATTATCTATTTTATTTCATGATCCATTTAGTGGTATTAACAGTGGTCTTTATTCGACTGACTGGAATACAAAGACTGTTCGAAGCTAATCAAATCCAATGCACGTGCTACTAGTTATCTAGCTTTTGTAAATTAGCGTAACTGTAAATAATAATAAATTAACTCCTAAGCCGTACTCTTATTTAAAATAGTCTATATCTGTCCTTTTTGTCAAATTGGTTTGAAGTTTATCAATTTTGAAATATAATTTTAATGAAAATTAGATATTGTGATTTTGATAAATAATCCCAACAAAGATATAAATAAAAATACAAATAAAATATCATAGGAAGTCACATGCATATATTTCTTCGAAGCAAAATCATAACACCCAGTAACCATGTTTTCTGTGGTTATATCGTGGATAGTCTACCTCTTACATTATTAGAATAAACTTAATAATACACATAGGGTGTAGTAAAACGTATATCTGGTTTTCAACAGATGTTTGTAAATTCTCTTTGGCTTTTTGCTATTTTAATTGCAGATATGCCCAATATTCGCACTTCAAAATCTACTCGGAGGCCGAGTACTACAAGTTAGAAATTGACGGGTATGAAGGAAACGCAGGTGATTCCCTGAACGATCCCTGGTACGGAAGCAATAACAGTCCATTTTCAACATACAACAGGTACAGTTTTGTGCGATGATTTCGTCATATATTTTTTAAATAATATAGACGGATAGACAGATATCTGTATGAGGTTTTTACCGTTTTACCATATTTTTTTAATTAAAATTGAACCCCAGATACCGACATCAGTTTTCGTATATCTTTTCGAAATTTCACTTTCCTTTTGAAAGTGTCGGATTTGGCTATGCTGTATCCTTTGCCTCGTTTTGGGTTTTTACATTAGTTTTAAAAATGCATGTAAAGAATAAATAATATAAATTGTTTATTAATTATTAATACGAAGACATATAATATAAATTATCAATAATTACTTAGATAAGTACGGGTTTTATTGAAAATCTAATTCTGTTTCACCTTCAGAATCATCAATATGACCAGTGTTTTTGCTAAGTTTAATTTTAACTTTACTTATTTAAATTAACTGCATTTTCCAGCTCTTAACAGATATATTATTCATTACATTTTAAATGAAATTTATTACACTCGGTCTTAAAGTAGAAGAAACATTTTCTGTTCTCACATTTGATCTCACTTGGTACCACAAATGTCCTACGGGGTTGAATATAGAATCCTATGGATAAATACGTAAAACAGTCTGCCCCATTTGCTTGCAATTTATGAATTTGGTGTTTCTAGCAGACGGATGTGATAGCTCGCGTTATCCACACTGTTATCCGGAATATTTTTAATTTTCAGGCCGTTTTTTAAAAATGTGCTTAATATTCTTAGTAGACAACAGCAAGCAGTTTGGAATAAATGGCTTTGTCGATCCATCGTGAATTTTGGCGATGCGTTTTCCTTTATTTGAAGATGCTTTTGTCGGACCCTTTTAACTGGAATCAACAAAAAGCTCTATGGAGGTTGATAATTATATTGGTGTCATCTTCTTCTAGCTTCCTTTTCCGTTTTTCCAAATTAGGAACAATCTGGTTTTGATAAAGGAAATATGTTTTCCTTCTTATCATATTTCGTTCACTATTGTCCAAACGGTGAAATTGAAAATCACCACGTGTTTTTCTTTCGTTTGAGTTTTTTAAAAGCAGGTACGTTACTTTTAAATCTTCTTAATAAAAATTCATGAAAATTTTTCATGATTTGGTTAGTTTTGGTTAGCCACGTAGCGGGTTATTCAAAACTGCCACTGATATCCGTCGACACCTTATCGACATCTGTATCTTACTCGTCCCTTACCTATGAATTAATTATTTATTGTCGGGTTTACACATTAACAGTAGGAATGGAGGTCGAAATGGGTAATTTTTGGCGGCAGGTCTGTCAAATGGAAAGATGAAAATGTTTGAGACACCTTACAGTACCGATATGAGTATAATAATTCGTATTCCAGCAATAACTTTTTTGTTTAACTAACCGAGATTCTATTTTCTAGGGACAACGATCGATCGAGTCTCAACTGTGCGTCCATGCTGAAGGGTGGCTGGTGGTGGAAATCTTGCGGAAGGGGGCTCAACGGGCTTTATCTTAACGACCCCCAAGATCTAACAGCTCGACAAGGTAACTCAACGAGTTCTTATTTAAACACGCTCACTAATAATAAATAAATACTTCACAATCTCGTAAATAAAGCAGGCGTTGCCCAATAGAATTAAAAGTTTCACAAAGAAAAATATAAAGATGTCTTATTTAATGCGTATAAACTGTTAAACAATCAACTTTTACCAAATACATCGCCGACAAATATCCGTGTGCAATAAAATGCGTGAAGTGTTTTCACTTTCGATTGTTTAAACCCAACCTTAGGCGTAATTGTTTTTTTTTGAGCGCGACAACTAACTTTAAACTTTAAGAGTGTGTTCAAATATAATCTGGCGGACTTCATCCAAACGCATTCAGGGCTTTCCGAAATTAATGCACCAAATTGTTATCGCATTTTCGAAATCTAGATATTTTTTTGACATTTTTTGCAAAACTTGCAAGCAGATGTTAGTAAAAACTCTACAAAAATAAGCGTTTAACATTTTTATCACGATTTTCTTTATTTTTGTTACTTGAAAATGGTGCCTGGTTCGAAGAAAAGGCAAGAAATTAAATTTGTTCCAAATTGATCGGATAGGAATTTCAAATACAATTTTTATCTTATTAAAAATCAATAGCGTACCTTTTTTTTCTTATAAAAAAATATTTTTTGTTGCCTGGGAGCAGCGTACAAAATGTCAATAAAATATCTAGAGTGGTTTGAAAATTATTTTCCGGATATGTTTAAATTCGAAACACCCTGCATGTGGGGACCATCGTCCCTGGCCTGCTCTAATTTTTTTAAAAACAATTTTTCGTAAAAAATGTATTTGCGATTTTTTTTTTAATCTGCCAACGCTATTTTTTCCACCCTCTAAAATGTCCAAATATCGTAATTTTATCTCTTTTGAAAGAAGGCTTTTAGCATTTACGTAGAATAAATATTGTTCTGCAAAGTTTGATATTCCAGCTTTTCTTTAAACTCCATGACCATATTCATTGAAGTATTTTTTTTTTAATTAATTTACTTTATGTACAACAGTTCTCTCAAGATATGCCTACTGTTGTTGCCCGAAACGTACGTTGTGTTTGCTGAATCAAATACATTTATATGACCAAATACCATATATTCTAAAAAACATGTTCGAAATAACCACCATATTCAGTTGGGCGCATAAATAAACACATTTGCGGATATTTTGGATACACCATTTAAGAAGTTCTGGTTGTCTACATAATTCAAGACGAAGTAAATTTAAATATAAATTGCCTATCATACTTCTTTCTTCTTGGCATTTTTTCTCAGGCAAAAAAACATTCATCGTATCAAAAAATCACTTGCTCCACACCGGTTTCTCGCTGCGGTTGGAACAAACCCATGGATTACATTTTGAAATTCCGACAAAATGTCCAACTTCTCTTTATTTTGAAATAACGTAATATATATAATATATAATGCTTCAACTGTGGTAGGTTAGACTTGCCCGAGGATCAATATCAACGGAAATATTTATTTAGTAATATAACGAGACACCCAATACTTAGATCTAAGAATATGATACAAAATGTTTTTGTGTACTTTTTTAGGAATTGTGTGGTTTCGCTGGAGGGGTTGGGACTACACGCTAAAGAAGTCAGTCATGATGATAAAGCCGAAGACCTATCTTAATAACGGAACTTAATTTGTCGTTTTGGAAGTTTTGTTTATTTGGCAAGATGTCGCTGACTCAATTGCGTGTTCGTTTCGTTTATCCGTCAGTGACGTCGTACCGCATCAGTGAAACTTCCACGCAATAATTGTACAAAAATGTATATGACGTTTTTAGTTTTATTAGCCAATTTATAATCATCGCATATTGTCTACGTCCAAACAAATATTACGAGGAAATTTGATCTACAATATTGGCTTCAAAATAATTCTGCCCTTATCATAATCGTTCAGTATCATCTCTATTTAAGCCATTATATCTACTGCCATATATCTTTATCACTGTGACACAACCATATTTTCATTCTTTGGAGGGTTCTATCAAACGTCTAAATTAACCACGATTTGTTTCTTATGATAGGTTAGATTTTTTTAAAGAAAAAACATTATGGTCCGTGTTCGACGATGAAGAAAATTATTCAGATATCCCATTTAATATGCGCATGCGCGGTCATTTGAAATCTCGTTTTTAACCAATAAGACTTTGCGCCGTTTTGACAACCAATATGGCCGCTGACAGGTTTAAGTTTAGATGTAACATTTTTACGGGAATGTTTTCTCAAAATATGCCCATATCCCGAAAAACATTTCTATGTTTGTTTCATCGCTGTTGAGAAAAAAAATTGCGCAAAGTGCAAGTTAGTGGGTAAAATTTAAATGCATGCGCGGAAGATCATTCCCATCTGCACGAAAGTATCCTAACTACCCGAGGCGCATCAATTTTTACCCTCCAGGGGGCCATATCATTTAATAGCTACATAGTTTTCTCGCATAAGTTGACAACATCTGATATCATGTTTTTCAGTACTACGTGCCCGTAATCAGATGGTTTATCCGTAACCCTAGCCCGTCAAACTAAACCAGTTTACCAAAACTTTATCTTCATCAATGCCTAGTTCTTAAAAAGTGCGACTTCTTCAATGGATTGACGAAGATATGGCCTTCATTAAGTAATTGATATCCTTTACTTCCCATTTACGTTCTAACTAACGGTTTCCTTAAAACAGACAAAAGCCGTTTAACGGGAGGTCGCAGTAACCATGTAAATCGAACCTACTGATCAACTTTAGTACAGTATAACGATGACTGAAACCAGTCTGCCCGAGGGCATTACGTAACGCAGGTTATAACGGTGTTACGTGAAACTGGCGGCCCTTCAAAAACATCCGAAGATTGCGCAAATTTATTTAGTCGGTAGGCAACGCAATTTGGGCTAAAATTAGCCTCCGAACGAGGCGACAATTTATCTGCGTATTATTGCTTTAAAAGACTTGCAAGTTTTAATTGGACGCGTATTTCTCAACTATCGCTTCTTGTGACTATTAAGTTTCTCGCAGTGCTAACTTATTTTATAAAGCACAATTTCATATCCCGCACCATCACTAGTTGTTTTTTGTACTTTTATGACCATACACAGTCGGAAAGTTGAAAAAATGTTTAATGTCAGTATTATTTAATGCTTAGGAATAGGTCGATTTACGCGTATATAGGTAAGAGTTTTCGTTTAAATTTCCGCTGGCTTAGCATTTAAGATTATTCGTCATACCTGGTGGTTATAAATTGGTGAATAGTATTTCTATATTTTTAAATAAGAAAAACAATGAGTTGAATTGCTAAGACTGTGAGTTATTGTGTATTGTCGACATAACGGTTCTCGAAAGAAAAAAAAGGTATACATACTACTATACATCCACCAAAATGTACCTTCCTCTTCTGGTTTCGAAGTAACGATTCTATTAATTTTTGTAGGAAATAAATCTCGCAAACTTCTTTTTGGAATTTACGAATGTTTATAACGTTAACAACTTGTCTGAGAGGCGTTATGATTTGTTTTAAATGTTCACAGCTATAATAATCTATTCATTGGGCGGACCAGAAAATCGATGCTTTATACCGAGCGACACAAAACAGTAAACAGTTCAATAGATGATTTGAAATTTGGTACGTTCAATACAGGCTAAATTTGCAATGTTTCGACACTATATGCAGTGAATTAATTGATTTCCGGAATTGTCGAAAATGTCAATAAGTAGTGAATCATAATGGGGGCACACCCGGTACTTTTTTACATTTTTGAATTCAGCATTTTATGTTACGCATGGTATATTTCACATATTTTATATTATTTATTTTTTTTAGTTGTGATAGAAAAAAATTTCAATGACCTATCTCACAGCAAATAACCTCTAAACGATAGGACTAACATGTTTTTAAGTCATCGTTTTTATGATCGTCCAAATCCAAAGATAAATAGAATGACTTTAAATTAAATGATTTCAATTTCCGGGTGAAAAATATTCCCACTTTCTTGTGTCACCCAGTATATAGTTATAGTTCTAAAGTTACCGAGACAAGAACCAAACACTCATTTCGAAGGATATACGTGGTTCATTTTGGTTAGTTGGTTAATTTTCGAGAAATTGAAATACAATCTATTTTGTAAATAATATTATTCATATATGTATAAATTAAAGTTTAATATATGTGCTATTTTAAGTTAAACATTTGTTTTATTGTGTTACATTCCTATGAAACCTTTCTGGTTCCCAATTTTACAGCTCGAGTTCGTGCTCCTTTTTTAAATTCATATAATTTTACTTAGTATCCCACTATTAATTAGATAATGCATAAGCTTTGCGAAAATAAAATAAGTAAATTTCCAGATTACAAAACTGCAAAATGCAAATCCGCCTTAAATAATATCGAATGTTTTTCTGGGGCTAATTAAAAAGTGAGGTGATATCTGAGAATAGACCCCAGAATACCTTGTGGTGGTCTGTGAATAGACTATTCTTCTTCTTTTTCTTCTTTGTCAGATTTTAATGTAGTTGTTTATACGTTCTTTCCATTTATACCATTCTAATCTCATCCAATGAGATAAGAAGAAGAACTAAAATCTAACATTATTCTTTGGTGGTCTTCACAATTTACATTGCTCTTTGACTTTTTACAAATAGAAATTAAATAATTAGTAAGGGAAATGGCCCAAATTGGAGAACCACTTACTCTTTCCAGAGGCTAGTTAATTTTTTCGAATCGTTTTTAATTCAATGATAATAATAATGCCTTTGATTTCCAGACATAAAGCGGTCAATAGAGTTGCTAGAAAAGCTACAAAAAAGTGGCGAAGTGCCTGCTACAAAGCTTGTAGCCCTGCAAAAAGTCTTGCAGAGTGATTTTTTAAACGCAGTGCGAGAAGTATATGAACACGTTTATGAAACTGTTGATATACAAGGTTCACAAGATGTCAGAGCATCAGCAACTGCTAAAGCCACAGTGGCAGCATTTGCAGCAAGTGAAGGTCATGCTCATCCAAGGGTTGTGGAACTACCCAAGACAGAGGAGGGTCTTGGTTTTAATGTTATGGGTGGTAAAGAACAGAATTCTCCAATCTATATATCTAGGATAATTCCGGGAGGGGTTGCCGATAGACATGGTGGATTGAAACGTGGAGATCAGTTACTAAGTGTTAATGGTGTTGTAAGTTTCCATTATAGAAGTTTGCAGGTATGTGAAATGTATTTGTTGCAGTCTGTTGAAGGTGAAAATCACGAGAAAGCTGTAGAACTATTAAAACAAGCCCATGGATCTGTAAAGTTAGTTGTCAGATACACTCCTAAAGTGCTGGAAGAAATGGAACTCCGTTTTGATAAACAAAGGGCTAGAAGGAGACAGCAATATAGTAATTAAACTCTTATCTATGTATTTGTTGGTAGTACCATATTAATTAAGGTACATGTATGGTGTGGTAGCTGACTATAACTGTAGAACCTAAAAATATTGTTTTTAATAAAAATGTTTATATTCACTTTTAATGTAATGTATGTGAATCTGTTTCCACTTTTAGCATTATCGGTAGTAGATAGCAGCTTATTTTTTACATCCGTATAGCATTTCAGCATTCTAATTTCATTTAATGCTGTTTTTTCATGAACTTTTACCTTACTACAGGTATTAACAAGATTTGCTTAGATTTAGTAAAGCCTTTATTGATTTCATCTATAGGCAGGGAATTTACAATAGTTAAAAATGGAAGAAATTATGTAACATATTAGTATAATTCAGCTTTTAGCGTCCTTCAGAAATAATATGGAAAAACTTTTTTGAAATGTAATATATTGACTTGACTTTGCTTCAAAAAGATGGAAATGGTCCATTTGGAGTAAGGTGCGGCAACTTTTTTGTGACGTTTTACATTAAATAAGCTTGATGGAATTTTAAATGTTATTGAGATTGTCCTAAAATTACAACATTCTATGGAAATTTATTATTTTTGACTTCTAAACTTAAAATAAAGTAATGAGATCACCTCCTTCAAAGAACTTTTGTTTCATCTTTTTGGAAACAATATTTAACTCTCAAGTCAAATGAATAACAGACACAGGAGCTTTGTTTTGCACTTTAGAACAAAATGTTCATTTTAACATACCTAAATAGTAACATACAAGTACTAATGTATAAATAAATTAAATAAATAAATAAATATATTCTGATCCTAAAGAGATAGCAGTTTTGGTGTATCTTCCAGTGCAGTTGTTCAGCATTTACCTAAGGTAATTTATTTCAAATATAGGGTGTCGCTAAATATTTGTTCAATTCAACAAAGTTCACCAAGTTTTCATTTCGGGGGTTCCTTTAGATAGGAAACTTTAACTTATCCATAAAACTCTGATCGCATGTGGTGCCATGTGAACGATATACCATAATTGTCGATTAATTCAAGTTTTTCATCTAAACAAACCTCCAAAATTGTGATAAAAATATATCACAGGAAACTTGATTCATTTTTCAACTCTCAATTTTCAAGACAATAGTTCTAGTATTATCAACCATTATACAAGGGACCTTTATTGAACTGTGTGGACATTATGGGAGGCAACCTGAAAATCAATACACAGTAACACAAAATAAACCTAAAAGGCAATAACAAAAACCTCATATGGTGAAAATCTTTTTTCTTCTAAAGTACCAATGATATTCTTATGGTAAGTGATAAAGGAAGGGCAGTTTTTACACAGATTTATACACACATGGACAATTACTACATTTAAACAATAACAACTTACTAATGAATTTTATCACCCATTTGCACTTTCGACACCATAAATATTCCTACAATCAAGCCAAACAAACCTATAGCACTCCCAAAAATCTCAACAATGAGGATTTTGACAAACAGTGCAGAATTGGCTGCATCGGCCAAAGCAGCTCCTGAACCAACAATTCCCACACAAATACCGCAAAATAAATTAACTAAGCCTACAGATAACCCGGCTCCAAACATTAAATACCCAGACATCCAATTTTTATTAAACAGAAACTGATCTTTGGTAACAATCTCCCATGTAAAATCATCTAAGTAACCAGATAATACTATAGCAGTTATCAAGCCATAAATAGCCACAGCTTCGCAAAAGATGACTGAAATAAGATTCTTTGTTTTGATTCTAGGCGCTTTTACACCACCACCAATAATGCTAACCCCTACAGTATGAATACCAGCTGCAGCCCCGACCACTGAGAGGGAAACAGACAGACCAATGCCCAAGCCGGCCCACATGTGGGGTGAAGTTTTTTCCAGAAACCAGCCAAAGCTTATGCGTTCTCCCTTATTAGTTAAGACGTGGTATATTATTAGTATAGACGACACAAAAAGCAAAGTGCCTAAAAACGTAACTCCCAAGATCCTCCTTATATTCATGTTTAAGCGGCAGGCAAGTGATCTAAAATGAAATTTCTTGCATATAAAAAAAATTTGCATCGTCAACTTACCAACGAAAATGAACGTTTTATAAAAAGTAGACCTAGAAGACAAGCTATAAAAAAACAATATTATTGTTTACTTTCACAATTATTGAATTTAAATACTTTTAAACGATTCATACTAACCTCAATTCCGTTTCTGTGATTGACGCAATGAAATTCACTGGATAATTGGATAGAAGAAGAATGAACAGAGAGTTTGGCTCCTGTGGATGCATGGGTCAATACAAAGCCCAATATCATATAAACATTCCATGGTAGTATGTATTAGGCTCAAATTGCAAGAAATTAGTTATTTGTTCCCGAATTTGGGTGGAAGCAAGGGGTATTCATCATTTTTTGGAATTTTTTGAATGAATTGTTGAAGTTCAAGTTAATTGTTTATGATATTATATCATAGTATATGTGTAGGCTTGTGACGAAAATGAAATAATCCTCTAGGTGAGCAGGAAATGATTTATTGATCGTGACAATCTTGCCCAACAGGAATTGTAAAATGCATGGTTATATTGTAATTTAAAGAGACGGCTAATTTGAGAAGCTGCCTGAGTTCATGTTTTCATAGTGTTGTGGTAGTTGATTAAGTTTAGTAAGGTAAGCTGTAGCACAAAATAAGTAATCTTAATTCTCGCTGTTTTTAAATAATTACATAGATATTGAATGAACCATCCATATCTTCGTGATATTCTATTAAGTTTGGTATATTTTATAAAGATGTTATTGTTGCACAATTTTTTTTGTTTATTAAGATGCGAGTGGTTTCCTAGAAAAGTATCCAGTTATTGCAGCAATCCGCGAATCCGATGGTGGCACTACTAAACGTAAGCAAACGTGCAATTTACGGGTTGTCGTTGCAATCTCAATGTTTACATGAAATTTTAAACAACCCATTTCTCCTGCATAAGGGACAATAAAGCATTATTAGTGACTGTTATCGTTGTTTGTGGCGTTTGTTTATGGAAAGATCCGCAAGTATATCTTACCATAAAACTCATTTCTATCGAATTTACTGTGAAAGCCGCAGTTTTGTAGAAGGCGGAGCAGTATAAAAGCAAAACATGTAATTTTGAACATTTTTAAACCAAAAACTATTATTAAGATAATTGATAATTAACAGGGCAATTTGTTTTGTTTGAATTTGAAAAACAACTTTATTTTTCAAAAGCCACGAGGAGCAAAACGTGAACATTGATGTATGAGGCATACACTGTCTGGTATCAATAAGGAGGTAATATTAGGGTTAATTATTTGCGCAGTAGGTGTTTTATTTCATTTTTGTATTCTGTTATTTTATTTAATTTATGTTTAATCCATACAAGTAGGTATTTGTTTTTTCTATTTTACAGAATGGGGTCGAACGGAATTAATTCTACAGTATTTCTTGTATACTACAAATCTACAACAAATGTCACATACAATTTAAGTTATTTATAAATGCAATGGATATTTGTATATTAAATATCCGTGTAAGTATATCCATAAAGTTTGAATGAGGTGTACATTACACACAATTTTCTTGTATGGGTTAGAAACAAATAAAAATGAAAATCACTTTTGGTTTCCATAAGCAGGCAAATAATCTAAGTAATTTAATGAATAGGAGAAAAAAAATTATATAGTTTTGAAATTTTGCCCAGTGTGGAAGCTTAATCCTCTTTGCTTCATAAATGTTATACGAATTTTTATATTCTCCATTAAATTCTACATAGAATTGTTATATAGTGCCCTCGTAAATGATGGAACCCCCTTTTATTTTTTGTACCCTCGTATATACCACGGTAGAATTTGTTGTGCACGTATATATTTAAAATGTCTATTTTTTTATATAAAAATAATATATCAGAATGTTAAAATGGCAGCGGGGCGCCATTTTAAGTTGTGTGATGTGATATCTCTTACAAACACGTTTAAGACGGACGTATATTTCGATTGAGCCAAAAATTTTATATCTTAGTTTTAGGGTGAAACTTGTGGTACCTTTACAATCTAGTTTTCTCTATTTCAGGTAGATAAGCAATATGTCCTCTAGAAGTAAAAAAAAAGTAGCCTTGGCTAAGGACCTCTTTGACCATAATCCATCTGATTCTCAAGCATTAATATCATGAGACTCGCTAGTTACAAGAGCTTTGCTCATTCAGATTCATCTCAAGGACAAATACCATCGGTATGCTCAGCACAGCACCACTCATCATCATTACAGGATTCATCTTCAGTGAAAATCGATTTACCCTCGACTTCATTGCAATCTAAATCATCTTCGTCGGACCAGATTCATATATGTCATCCAAATTACGAAGCGATTCAAGAAGTGAAGGAGGTGGATAACTGAGAGGAACCAGAAAACAATGAAGTGCAATAGGAAGAAAATAATGACGAACAAGAAGAAGAAAATAATGATGAGCAAGAAAAAGAAAATAATGAGCAGCACGCGGAAAGAAAACAAAGGATTAAAAGGATGAAGCAAAATATAAGACACATGGAAAGATTGTGAACATCTTCCCTTGAACTTTAATTTTTGTGGAACCATGGGCTTACAAAGCTTAACATGTGACCTAACCAACGCTACGATATATATATATATATATATATATATATATATATATATATATATATATATATATATATATATATATATATATATATATATATATATATATATATATATATATATATATATATATATATATATATATATATACATCTCAATATAATTAGAGCGTCTTGGACAGGTAACATGCTTTGAGCGCCACCTTCGTATGTCCTTCCCAAAGCCCGCCATATAGCGCCAGTACACTTGATAAACATTAGGGCGTCACTGGTATACGTTTTTCCATATACTTATTCGCTTTTAAAGCGTCAACAGCGTTGCCGCATTTGTTCTTGCAATAAGTGCCTACATTTTTTAGATATTCTCGACGTTCAACTTGTAACGTATTTATATGAGCTACAGTTAAAAAATCCCTCCGCATAACATTGTGGATCAGAGTTTTTAGAGTCCGTAGGATATTTTAATTTTTTTGTTTGGAAGCATTTCAATTGTTTTTACGAATTTTTCTAATCTATCTATCAAAAGGAAAGAGTTGAATTTTAAGATTAAAAACGGTATAAAATTTTTAGAATATTTGAATGTTTCAGAACCACAGAGTGTTGCAAATGAAATTTAGCAAAACTAAATAATTTTTCAAAGAAAATTCCAGAAACTACAACATCCTATTGGCTTCTTCCGAGTTTAACTGAAACTGGCTCGTATTTTATTTACTCTATACCTGCTTATATATTGTTTGAGGGGTGGAGGAATTGAAGGAAGGGTATGAACAAACGTAATTTAGTCTTTGACTGATAGAAGAGATTTTTGGACATGTGGTAAATCTAGTTTTGACTTTATATTTCTTAAAAACTTTTGATATGTTATCAGTAATTTTTTGAATGTGAGAGTCCGAAAGCAACCCCACACTTGCCGTTTTTGTCGTTCCTTACAACCAAAACATCCCTGGTCACATATTAAAAGTTAAGAAATATAACGTGAACTCCGGTAAATCGAGTTTAACATTTTTAAATTTTAATTAAAATTTTCATTCTGGAATTGGGACATCCAATTTTTGGAGTCTATTTAGATTTATAAGCATTACTTTTTATAGTTGAATAGCAGCTCACTTCAAAGAACACAACAATCGAAAAGTATAATTTTTAAGAAACACTAAAAACTAGTCAACGAAAAATGGAATGTTTTGTTGGTGCCAATAAGTATTTAGTATAGTTATTAGTTTTTGGTTTTTAAAATGAACGATTCAGTAATTCGACACGTTTCAGTTATCTCAGGTGGCCCCTAATGAATGCACCAAAAGTCAATCCTAAATTAAACTCGCAAAAATAATGATTTTGAGCCAAACGTGCTCTAGGAAAATGTCTCTCACTGAGTGTTAAAGTTTAGTCATAGACAGCAATTTTTAAAATATCGACAAGAAAACTTGGATTCGGAGGTTTTTCGAGAAGGTGAATAAGATCATATTCCAGTTTCTAAGATGATATGTAGAGAACTTTAGTTACAGTTAAGTGGTATAATGACGTTATTTTATCACTCATCTCCACAAAAAATCGGCAACAATGCTGTGTCACTAACTTTTATTATTAATTTGATTTGGGTATATACCAGGTGATACAATTTGCTAACAAATATTTTTATTATCCCTATGGCATATTAATCAGTGGAAGTAAGTTTTTATTCAGTTTCAAAAAGTATCTTTTACTTTAACTTATGCAAGTCAACGCTAATATCAATGTGAATGTGTTCATTTCTTCATTGAAGATTGAAAAAGGGAGAAAAAACTAATAGTGAATTTCGTTTCGGAAGCTGGACCTGCTTGCCGGAAAGCCGAAAGAACGCTCGGTCGTACCGGTCGCGTACTTGCGGATCGTATATTTAAAACATCTGAATTTTAGGCAAAAGTTTTGAGACAATATATTACAATAATTTATCCACACACACAAGTAAAATACCGCTTTCGATTGCTTTTTAGCGCATTAATTACGGACCACCCTAGATGGCAAATTACACTATTTATAAACTATTTTGTAATTGTACTAATTGATTTTTTTAATTTATGTATTATTTTATGATAACTACCATATTTTTGTTCCTTATTAGTTTAAGGTGAATGCTTATAGAAAAAGAATTATAAAGGAATTAGGTGGCATTCCGTGGGAATCAAGTGGAATTCAGAGGATTTCCGAAAATTTATCACTCGAAGAAGAATTTTGGTGTACACATAAGGATTTTTAAATATATTTTTCAAAATCTTGAAGTTATACATATGTGTAGCAGAATAGAAAAAATTGTTCCATTTTTTCTGTCATTAGCGCTTGGCCTATTCTGGTTATTATATTTATTCTTGTGATTCCACACATCACACAAACACACACACACACACATATAAACTATTGAAACTAGTACTGTTCCACAAAAATATTATTTATTAAAAAAAAAACTAAAGCTAGAGATAAAACAAAATAAAATTTACAATTCCTTCATCAGTGATCTATCCATCTATAAAAGCATTTGCAAACAAAAAAGTTGCGATTTTACTTTAAACTCCTTTTCTTTATATATTCATTTTGAACGAAGGCTTTGATTTTTGGCCAGTCTTTATTGTCGAACAGTCCTGGATATTTTTCTTTCAGTGCTAAACATTGCAACTATTTGGGAGGTTGACATTTTTTTATATGTTTGGAAAAGTAATGAATGACTTCCCTTTTTTCTCAATTCTCAAGAAGCAAATTTTGTCCTTTCGCTTGGTGTAATTTATCCGATGTTCCCATGCATTTTTTCCTGTGACGCCAAAGCTGCTTTGAGGCAAAAAAACCTTTACAGTTTGTGCAGGGTAATATTTTTTGGCTAGATTGTTGTTTTCTAACAGGCTTCTGAAACACGCTACTATTTAAAAAGTTGCCTTTTCTTCTTAAGAAATTCAACAATTTTCTTCTTTCAGGATCTCTAGCTGACAAAGAGATAATTTTCTGCACGCTATTTTCAATACTATGTGCCCCTACATACATGTCGAGCAAAATTTAATAGATAGCTTTCAGAATACATACAAAAGTCGTTTTTTTGTGTTTCCTTTCCTTCTTTCCCCATTTTGCTTAAACTCTCCCAAATTTTGTAATGGATTATATTCAGTGATTTCATTTAAGCTTTGTCGAGAACCAATGGAAGTTATCGCTTCTTCGTATTCGGTGTCTACAAAATAAAATTATTATTATGCATGTAACTGAATTAATTAGTTACTTTTCAAACGGGAAAAATAAAAATTTTAGCGGTTTTAAAATTTTAGCCAAACTTTGGTTCTGTTATGTGCAGTAAAAGTTTTAAATTGAATTAATTTGCTAATTGTTAAATTGGTTAATTTGTTTAATGCTAAAAAAACTTAATTGAATTTGTAGATGCTGAATGCACGTTTGAAGTATTACAGCAATTAAATAGCCTAAATGTTATAAAATAGAACTAAAAAAACATGCGTCTACTTGTTAGTGAAGTCGAGATTCTGGAAAAACTTTGTCTATTATTGATATTTTAAAATTGTTTTAATTTTTATTAATTTAAAATTCCGAATATTTCGATTATAGTAGCACTTTCCATATATGATTGGTTACGATCTGAAAGTATCAAAAAAAAAAGATTTTTATTTATTTATTACAGCAGTTGGGAATATACGTTCTTTGCGTGTAGATCGGTGTTTATTTTATCTTTTAAAAGTACCGTTCATACAAGATGTTCAGAAAAACAATATTTTTGAGCACGGCTAAGATTAGAGTAACACAGCTAAGCAAAGGTGTACTTTTGGAAAATAAATGACAATTTTTGCAGAATTATTTCTAGTATCTGTACAATTTTTTTTTCCAAAATTAACCATATTTTTGTGTATTCTGTATACAATTTTAATACAAACTTTTTGTTTTAGGTGATTTTGGGTGTGCTTGTGCCACCCGCGCTTTATTTATAAAAGACCAAATAACTTTTCATGTTTTGGGGTTTTTCTACGTTTCTATATATAACAATTTGTTGTGTTCAAAATATGAAAGCTGCAAAGTACTGCAAGCTAAAAGCAAAAACCGAATAATTCTCTATATTTTTTTCAATATGCGGGTGCCATATGAAAGTGGGAATACGCTATAACTTTTAAAAACTTATAAAACTTTCAATTTTTCGACAGTATGTAATTTTCAATTTTTGAGTAGGACACCTTATAATTTTTTGAAAGTCACTGTTTACCGAGCCACTCGGTGCTGGAGAAAATTCAATTTTTTTTTTTGCTTGACGATAACAAATTCGTCGTAACCGGAACTTTAGAAAATAAGTTCATAGGAAGAAGGAAACTAAAAACGTTTTCACACACACACACACACAAATAGTTGTGTACTTACCAGACCATTTACTTAGAAATCGCTCTTGTTCGTTTCTATCGGTGTCTTGTGATTGATATTTAGGAATTTCTAAAATGTCTAAACAATCACTATCAATCTTATTACGAGCTACTCCTATTCGTTTTAAAACAATCTAGAAATAGAACAGAAAAATGCCAAAAATCACGACAATTTGAAAAGTCCCCATACTTTAAGAAAATTATACGTACCTACCACCTATTCGTCTTTATACTTGACGCTTGCTACACTCAACGCACACCAGAACTGGCGAAAATAACCGAAGAATAATATAAGTTAATAATGACGCTTCATACGCGAATAAGTATATGATTAAAACAGATTTGTATATCTTTTACCCTTAACATTGATGCCAAGATGTGTGACGCTCTAGACGCGAACAAGTATCCATACAATATACTCATTGTAAATATACACATAATCTTCGGTAGCGCCCCGCACGGTCTACGCTAGGAACTAAATTATACTTTTCACGTTTATTCAGTGGTAAATATGGCGTCTTCGGATTATTCGTTCAATCTTCTTTTCAAGGTGTAACAGTTGCGTTGGCAATGTTAAAACATCGCTAAAGCTTAGAGCGTCAATATACTGACGCTCTAGTGAATGTAATTTCACAATAGATAGACGTTATAAGGATAGTAAGTATATATATATATATATATATATATATATATATATATATATATATATATATATATATATATATATATATATATATATATATATATATATATATATATATATATATATATATATATATATATATATATATATATATATATATTAGACAGTTTGTAACTAAGTGAAGTATTAAATATTATCGTAAAGGTATGCCTCTCAGTACTATCTATGTTACGAAAGTGGAAAGAAATGGACATGTCTTGCGTTGTAAAAATTTGTTTTTCATTTATTTCCTGGCATTACTCATTTTGTATCATTGTGAACAGTAATGCAATTTTTTCATGTGCAAAAGCATGTGCTAAAAAAAACGACCATGCGCGTCTTCAAAAACACGTTTGTCATAATTGAAGTGTTTTTTCTTTGGCGTAATAAACTCAAATTTTAAAATAAGCATAGTTTCTGTCCTTTATCAGTCCTGATATCCTGATCATGACACAAGAGAAGATTTTCATCATTCTACGATTTCAAATTCTGTGCACGCTTAATTAATATAAATAAAAAGGAAATTATCGAAAGAGGTGAGATGGGAGATATATGTAATGCAAGGTGGCCGAGGATGCAAAAAGCTCACTCTTCCGTGCCCTTCCCACTTAAGATCCAAGGCTTATGACGGCTTAGAAAGTATCGCGAAGTTGGGTGCTCTTTAGGATAAGCCAGAAGAAGCAACGGTCTTAGACAAATTGGGGAGAAGTGTAGGGAATTGGAATGGACGGCGACAAGCAAGAGAACGAAGTGCTCATTCAGATGGACAGATGGTTTCCCACAATACCCTCAATCTGACAAAACCGAGTCCCAGACATTGGGACCCTTATGGTCTGTTCCTAATAGGCCACATGTGGGTAATTGATGGAAAACAAGTCGGTGGTGCCTTCAGACATCAAACCATGAGACTAATTAGTTAAAGTGAGTATCAATAGATGGCAAATTGGTGGCGCCATCTTTCCGCGGACCTTAAAACTAAGTAGTGGTAAACAATCATTAATAGATTGCAGTCTCAAAATATAGAACTTGGTGATTGAAAATTATGATGATGGCACCATCTTCCGTCAAAGCAAGGAATCAATTAGTTGAAGTAAGTACTAACAGATGGTGGTATTTTGGTAGCGCCACCTCTTGACAAACCTTGAACATTTGAAAATAATTGGTTCAAGGAAACGCGAAGATGGCGCTATCTTCCGTCAAACTATGCAACTAATAGGTACGGCGAAGCGCCATGGCGATGGAATTAATTAGAAACTAGCAGCCAGCATCAATAATCATCAAATATCAATATATTATGTAAGTATATTATGCAACAAGTGCGGTAAACGGCATTTGATTCACGGGTTGACTTGACACGAGCGCAGCGAGTTTTTAATAAACGAGTGAGTTAAAAATTTTACTGAAAGTGTTGCATATTATACCTTTTCTAGGACGTTAGTTTTTGGATACATTTTCGCAAAACAACACAAATACATTCACTCACATGACCATCAGAATTGACAAACGTCAAAATTCAAAGAGTGAGAAATATCCGAAAACATTGCTCTCAAACCCGTGCGGACACTGTGGTAAAGTGACGCCCGTACACTAAATCTGTGTGTAATTAGGTATTTTACAGACGGAAGTAGAAAAATTCCTTGAATTTATTATTTCCAGGAATTATGATCCAAAAAAGACAGTTTATTTATTTTTTCTACTCCCTTCTGCTTGGCAAGATTTCATCAGACCTAATAATAAACCTAGCTTTTTTTCATGTTTCAAGCATTTTAGAATGATTTTGGGTATCATGCCCCATGGTTTAGTTGAGAATCTTGTTATTAATTAAAACATGCAATAATATGCACAGTGTGGAACATGTAGGCTGTTGCAGGCAAGTTTCTCAAAACAAAGGAATTCTAAATTTTGGTTACTTACAGATTAACTTAGATATTTAATCATTTGTTTTACTGGTACCACTACTTAACAAGATTAGATAGATATTTGCTCTATAAGCTGCTAACTAAACAAACTACCCAAAATGAAATCCTAAGCGTTAAACACATTTTATTGCAAAATTCAACAGTTTTAAAGTTTTAAGGATAAGTAATGTGTATTATTAAACAAGTTGACTCTTTGATAACTAAAATAATTTATATAATTGCTTTAATTTCATCATAGAAAACGAGCACCAGAGCACCACCAATACCTCGGAAGACATTGGATAAACCTCCTTTAAAAAAGGCAGCAGCCCCTTCCTCTTTTAAAATTTTGGCCCAACAATCGGCTGTATTTTTATAAATCATTTGTTTTCCCAGCCCTGATTGCATCATCATGCGCCTTCTCACAGTATCAAATGGATAGCAAGCCAATCCAGAGATAGTTGTTACTGTCTGGAAACCAATAAGACATGAGAATCACTGCCATTATAAATCATTAATACTTCAAAGCTTTATAAGATAAGATCCCTGCCACACTCACCTGTGCAATGATAAAGGAAATAAGCACTGGAGTCTTTTTTGGGTCAGGCATCATACCTTTGATTGTATCATAACAACCAAAATAAGCAGCTCTGTATATTATAATCCCCTGAACAGAAACAATGAATCCTCTATATAAACCAAGAGCTCCATCTGATTTGAAAGTTTTGACCACACAATCAACCAGACCTAAGTATTGCCTTTCAGTCATGCCTTTTCCGATGTCAGCTCCCAAACTGGTAAATATATAAGCATTATGAAGGCAATTGTTACTCAGTGAACTCAATCATAGCTAGAATGGCAAAAATGAGGAAAATTTAACATCTGAAAAAGGCAGCTACTAATGGAGAGTACTTCATTTCTCTTGTTCATAGTTTGCTTAATTACAGATACATTTTCACTGAAATTATTTAGACATTATTTGGTGATCAGACAATATTTTCTTTAAAATATGTGTATATAAAATTCTTAAAAAACCTTAGAAAAAGTTTCCAACAAATTAATATATATAAAAATTCAAAAAATTTGAATATTATCCTAACATTCTCAAAAATTTGTTTGTCAGAAAATAGGAGTATATATTTTTACCAGAGTATTATTTCAAAAAAGACTTAAAATGCACACATGTTTATCTACATTAAGGCAATATTTTTTTTATTTGAAAAAAACAAATCACATTATGTAATATGAATTACCTGCAAATAATGCTTAACTTACCCAAAAAAAGAGACTTTTTTGCGGTTATACATACACTACTAGAACCACATGCAACATAATTTACCATTTTAAAACATGTTTACTAATTAACAACCAGTATGGAATTACTAGTAGTTATTTTTCATAGAGAAATATGGTAAAATTGCAACCATCTAGTTTAAAGAAGGATAAAGATTGAAATGATTCTACCAAGTACCCCTTACCAAAAGATTTAACTGAGAAATAAGATAAACAATTTTTATTAGTATCCTAGATTAGTTATGTGGCAAAAAAGTTCTAATGGTCTCACTCTAAATAAAATTTGCGTCACAAAATGAATGTGTGGCTGTATTACTGGCACCATTCATGTTCAGCAGATGGAGTTCACTGTCCATAATAGATTTTGGGGACTTACCGAGTTCTAGCATAATCCAAGGGATAAACAAAACAAAGAGATGTGGCACCTGCTGCACCACCTGATGCCAAATTTCCACCAAAATATCTCCAAAACTGTTCTTTTTTATCAACGCCGCCCAAAAAGATTTTTTTATAGACATCTTTGAATGCAAAATTCAATGCCTGTGTTGGAAAATATCTGAGAACGTTTGCAAAATTGCCGCGCCAATAACTCAATACTCCTTGCTCTCTAGGAATTCGAATGAAGCAGTCAATCATACCTAAACAATGAGAAAGAACAATTTAAGGCATTAATCCTCGTAGTATATTTTTACCTTTGTAACGTTGGGCGGGATCAATTTGCTTACTGGCTTCCTGTACTTGTAAAAGAAGTTTTACGCGCTCTATAGGGGCCACAGCCGTTTTGGCAATTGCCGCGGAAACGCCACCGGCCAGGAAATCTTTTACAAAAGCTTTTACGTCAGTTGGCATGATTAAAATTGAATTACACCACTCAGCTTTGCAGTTTGCGACTACACTTATGGAGACCGTTTTAAAGTCACTTCTACTGTTCGCGCCCAGCAACAGCCGCACTGCAATTTTTGGTAAGTTACTTTTAAATGATCCAATAAAATCCTTTATGCCCGCACAATGTATCAACCAGAACTTATGTTATGGTTTGAATATTTTCGTGAGGATAATTTAAGGGTGAAGATCCGCTTATCTGCTTTAAACAATGGATATAAGTGTGTTAAATGTAAATTATCTAACAAAACAATTAGTTTTATTTTATTACGCAGCGTTACCTGATAAAGAGATCCGACTCCAAGTTCGCTTGTCAAGGTGGACGTTTAATCAAATTATTTTTTCACTATTTTTGTAAAGATTCGAACAGAGGAATTATTCTAAGTGCCTTCAAAATAGAAATTAATTGAATAAAAACTTAGAGAGATATAGGAATATGGCTTAAAGTTAGTGGGCTCCCAAAAATGTTAGACGCGCATGTGACGTCACAGTGGCCGCGTTTTGCAAAATTCAAACTTCTACATTCAATTAGACTTAATTTAATTTAAAAAAACCTATATATTAACATTAACATACATATTTTCATTAAAAGTTCGCGATTTTATAACATTTATAGGAAAAATGTAGCTGCTTATAATAGATTTCTGCCAGTTGTTTCCTAGGGAATTGTTTAGGCTGTGGCCTTTGAAACTATATATATTAATAATGGGTTACATGATATAGTAAAAAAATACAACTTGACGAGTTTAACTAACCTGGTAGTTTCAATAATAAAGTAAGAGCAAATACATAAATGGGGAATGAGGATTGACATTATTTACACATTACATGTATAATTTAAATTAAGGATCACTACAATATGATTACATTTACAATGTTTTTATTCCATACACTTCACAATCAATGCCAATGCTAAACCAATTTCACAAGTCTTTGTGGATTTCTTCTTTTATCCAAATAAATTTCACTTAATTCAACATTGTGTGACGATCATAAATATTTCGCCTCTGCTCTCGAACTTGACGTTTCCATTTGTCCTGTTGCGTGCTGACTCTGTTTAATACATTACCTCGGACGCTCATATTATGGGACATAGGACCGGGGACTGCATCTTCCTGAAGAATACTTGTCAACAACTTAAAACTACTAATAAATTTGACACTTCTTACGTCTTCATTGGTGTGCTCCTGGTAACTGCCTTTCACACGTTTATTTAGCAGGGGATCCAAAATTATTAAGAATGCCATATATATGACTAAAATCGAAATAACCCAAATGACAATGATCACAACTACCCGAATGACAGTGGTTTTTCTATTCTCATATTTGCACTCGCATCTGGGACAGAATTCTCTCATTTCGTTAGCGCTCATCTGTGTTGATACTCTTGGCAGAACAACCTCATCACAATTACTGCAGATTTATGGAATTCAACTAAATGGTTAACAACTAAGAATATGAAATGTTTTACCATTTATTTGGCGGGTCATTTGTAGTGAACATAAGCCGAGAAGTGTGAGATTTTTCTGTTTTATTCGTAACGGACGACAGACTAGGGCAAATGCATTTGCATCGTTTGTCGTCAAATTGAGCCTAAAAAATCAGTATTGATAGAGGGGTAAAGGGTGAGGGTTAAAAAAACTACTTCTGCATGAGAGAAGACCCAAACGATGGTAAAAAATATTAAGATAGGCTTCATTTTCTGCTATAAAATATATGTAAATACAAAACCTTGTAAGCTAGCACAGTATAAAACTTCGATGAAAAATTATACAACTTTGTGTTTTACTCGGTTGAGATATTAGGTAAGGACACTCGCCCATTACCAACAAATTGGTGTCGATTTATTACTGAAATACGTATTTGTATGTGTGCTGAATTTTGATTATTTAGTGTTGCGTTAGATAGATATGAAGTATTGGAGATCCTTCTCAATTTAACTTTCCTTTAAAATAAAAATGGCTGAATGATTGTGGCAACGTGGGCAAATAAAAGTAAAAAAGAAGTATTACTTCGAAGCGCTTTGCAGGCTCATTGGCCCTTTAAAATCTATAATGGATGCATATTGGTTAAGTTGTAATTTTAAAACCTTTTGTACATTTGGCAATAGATAAGGCAGCCTATTTATTTGTAAATTCATTATTGAGTGTCAACCACAGGTATACCTTTACTCACTCCATATTAGTAATTTTGCAATGGGTAGTGGTGATAAAAAAAAGGTAGCACTGATTACCGGTATAAACGGGCAGGTATGTGATAAAAAAATATATTTTTTAAATTTTTTACATAAATATCTGTTTAGGATGGTTCATATTTATCAGAATTCCTTTTAAATAAAGGCTATGAAGTTCATGGAATCATCCGCAGGGCGAGTACTTTTAATACTACCAGAATAGACCATTTGCATGATGATCCATATGCTCATAAAGGGGGAAGGTTGCATTTACATTATGGAGACATGACAGACTCCAGTTGTTTGGTTAAAATTATTAATAATGTAAAGCCAACAGAAATTTACAACTTGGCTGCCCAGAGTCATGTTAAAGTGTCCTTTGATTTAAGTGAATATACTGCAGAAGTGGATGCTGTAGGTACTTTAAGGTTGTTGGACGCTATAAGAACATGTGGTTTAGAAAATTATTCAAAATTTTATCAAGCATCTACTTCAGAATTGTATGGAGAAGTAAAAGAAATTCCTCAAAATGAGAAGACACCCTTTAATCCCAGGTCTCCCTATGGTAGGTGGAAAAATAAATTGCTCATGTTACATTTTTCTTTCTGAACTCTCAAAATGTTTTCCCCACTTTTGTGAATCCCAGGTTGGGATTGTTTTTATTATCTTAATATTCCTTGTTTAATTATGCATTTTATTTCTTTTACACCAGCTTGTGCCAAACTCTATGCTTATTGGATAGTTATAAACTACAGAGATGCATATAACATGTTCGCCTGTAATGGTATACTTTTTAATCATGAAAGTCCTAGAAGAGGTGAGACTTTTGTTACTCGGAAAATCACCCGTGAAGTAGCAAAGATTCATCTGGGATTGTCTGATTGCCTAACTTTGGGTAGGTTAGATTCCAAGCGAGATTGGGGGCACGCCCGGGACTATGTTGAGGTAAACCATTTTTAGTTACATTTTTGTTGTTGGTTGTTGGTCCACTATTAAATATTGAAGAGACTAGGCTGTTCAAATTTAATTTTGTTTATTCTTCATGTGGAATGGAAGATTTACAATTTAATTTAAGATTTAAAAAGACGGACCTTACCTACGTACCTATGTATTTTCTTTTTCAAATTCCCTTGAAAATTTTATGTAAGTAAAATGGCCTATTGCGAAGTTTCATCACTATCAATGTACGATATTATAATTGTACTAATTAATTAATTAATATAATTTATTTAATATATACAATTTGAGTCAATTACATAATTAATACAAAGTGTTTCAAAAATAAAAATAACGTGTTGTAATATATTTGTAATTTTTTATTAATACAGGTTTCTATAAGCTTGTTCATTCGAAATTTTAAAATATTTGTGACTCATAACATTCAACAGATCTATATACATAACTTGCAAATTAGTAAATAATTCCATATAAATTTCGTTCAGAATACTATAAAGGATGCTGATTAATGATTGGAATTATTTTGACATTCAGTCAAAATATTAAGACTAACCTAAATTACTTAGATAAAATCTGTAATTTATATTAACAAAAAAACAACGATATTTATTAAAATTTCTTCAACATTTGAAAACAAATTGTGGTGCCAATTTGTTACTATCTAAATAAAAGATCAATTTTAATAACACATAAAAAGACACTTTTTATCTGAGTGATTTGAATTACATTTTAATATTTTGAGCTTAGGATTATACAGCGACTGTCACTCTATATGATGTGATTGATGATCGATCGTACTTTAGACGTCTATGGTGAACTGAAGAAATATATATTTTTTAATTTGGATTTTCTAGTCTGCTTTATCAAACTAAAATATTTTGGGACAATGCAACGTTGCCGATTCTAACATGGTCAATATTGAATACAATAGTAATCAGACCTTACCTGGTACGCCAAGGACATTTCAAATACCCTGCTATGGATTTTTTAGATTATGAGAGGAGGAACTTTTTTAAGCCACCCTAAAAGTAAAAACACTTATAGAAATGCGGCAGTTTAAAGTAGTCTTTTTTTTTCGTGGAAAGCACGCGGAAACACTAAATTTGAGTATAATGATGCCGACGGTTTGGGTGAACCATGGAGGAGAGCCGTAAAATTTAAGTTCTCCTTGTAAATTGCGATTTGAATGCCTGCAACAGCTTGTTGGCGTTAGATGTAGTCAAGTTTTTCGTTGCGCTTGGTGTGGCGAACGTGATGATACTTTAGATATTCGCTTTGTAATATTTATCTGCATATTTATTTATGGGAAACCATAATTAAGTTTTCAAATTAGGCGATGTGGATGATGCTCCAGCAGGAAAAGCCAGACGATTTTGTCATAGCTACCGAGGAGACGCACAGCGTTAGAGAGTTCGTTGAAGAAGCTTTTAAATATGTGGGTAAACAAATTATTTGGGAAGGGCAAGGTGTCGATGAAGTCGGTAAAGAAAATGATACCGGAATAATTAGAGTTAAAGTAAACCCCAGATACTTTAGGCCCACCGATGTGGTAAGAATAACTTTGCCAACAGATTGCCTGCAGGCTGTCGTCTGTCAATTTAATTGAATTTATAACAATAATAGTCAAGAGTTTAGTTGGAATGACCGGAGCAAGTGCTTAATAAACGAGTGAGATAAAACTTTTTTCTACTCCCGTCTGTAAAATACCTAATTACACACCGATCTAGCGTGCGGGAAGCGTCACTTTACCTCAGTTTCGTTTCCTACAGATACGAGCCACTTCGGACATTTTCGGGTTTGGTATCAATCGGATGTTTTCGGAGATATTTCCCACACCTTGAATTTAGACGCTTGTTAGTTCTGACGGTCATGTCAGTGAATGTATTCGTGTTGTTTTGCGAAAATGTACCGAAAAACTAACGGTCGTTGAAAAAGTATAGTAAGCAACACGTTCGGTAAACTTTTTAAGTCACTCGTTTATTAAACACTCGCTCCGGTGTGCTCCGCTCGTGTCAAATAAAGTCGCAAGTCAAATGCCGTTTACCGCACTTGATGCATAATATACTATTTTCTACTCCCTTCCGTAAAAAACCTAATTATACACCGATCTAGCGTGCATAAAGCATCACTTTACGGTGTGAGTTAATTGTCCCACGGATCCCAACCCCTTCGTACGTTCTACAATTTGGCATTCAATCAAATCACCGATATATCAAATACAGGTATCAATGGTTTTAGGTTAATTTAGGTAATTTGGTCGGCCATACACACGCCTACAGACCTTACTATGTTGGATTATATAAGGAATCAAATGTCAATAAACCCTCATTTAGGAATACATCTTGACGTCCAAGGGGTACAAATCTTGGCCTGTTTCCTTTTCTTGATGATACTGATTACCTATCCACTATCCACCAAAGCTTGACGAGCACATTTTTAATAGTGCATAACCCTCATTAATCCACTTAAGATAAAACATATTATTCTCGGTACTACTTTATAAATTTCAGGTATTTCAAGTAACAGTGTGGTTTTATCTAAGTTCTATCAAAATTCTGTCTAGTCTGTCTTTTTAAAATAGAAAAAGTGAACTTTTCTTCGAATTGCATATTTTGCTTCATCAACTATTTTCCAACATCTTACATAGTTATATTATGTAAATAAAAATTTAAAAGAACGAATTTTTAATCCACTGACAAGGGAGAATTATTAAAGCGTCTTTTCATTGGAACGAATATCGATGATGCACTCGCTATTTTACAAATATCTTTGTTACTGTTTTTTGCTAACCGTAACCAATATTTTTAATATATCATTAGGACCATTTATGGATATTCATTACTTACGTGAAATGTCGTCCAATTTCTATGGTTTTTTTGGTTAATACTCATATCGACTATGCTTAAATTTGGGCGGAATTCAGAATCCCCTGTTTTATTACAACGCACCATTTAGAAACACAATAATAATAACGAAATTATGAATATAGCCGAAAATGTGTTTGAAAATGCTGTACGATGAGTACTTCTCGTGCAAGGCCTGCAGGCGACCTGATAGTTATTGACGGCTCCAGTATCAGGGTTCGCGGTCAATGCCTGTGTATGTTTTAGGGGTTCTTGCTAGGAGACTCCACCAAAGCCAAAGAGAAGTTGGGATGGAAACCGAAGGTTTCCTTTTTGGAGCTGGTCAGGGAGATGATGGACGCGGATATAGCGCTCATGAAAAAAAATCCATTAGCGTAATGGTTATGTTCTCTAAAGTATCATATGACAGTCTTTAAATACATGTCGTTCCTTTCGTTTATTAGTTCGTATTATTGTAGATAATCATTTGTCTATGACATTCCGTTGGTTTCTAACCTCGAGTGATTTTTAGAAACACAGTATTTTATATGTCGTGGAATGAAACATTGTATTATTATGGTTATATTATGGCAAATATATATATTTTTGGTTTGCTAGGTAGTTTTAATGAGGTTATCTGAATAATATGCCGATGTTATCTTTCTTCCCACTAAACTATGTACATGCTCATAAATAATATGTATATTTATACAAATTTTGAGAGAGCAAAGAAAATTCTTTTGGATATTGAAAAGTTACAAAAAACTATATTCTTAGTCGTTGTTTTTGACATGCTTTCCTAAATTAAGTTATTTCTCATTCACCGGCCTAAAAATGTAATTATGAGTAGCTAGAACTGTCACAAAAATGTTTAACGGTTCTATTAATTTCTTTGTTAAATTTAAGAAAGAGGGAACTATTCATATATCACAATATCAAATATTTCAATCTATAAACTAACTTACTTGAATAACAGTGCATATACAGAAATATTTGAATTTGAACATAAAACTTCCTTAGGGGAATCACTTTGAAAAAATGTGTAAGTAACCAATCAAATTTATGATAATGATTGTTAGTAGGTGGAAGAACAGATGATGTTTTTTATTAGACCGCTGAACTGAATCTAAACCCTGATGTGTATAAATTGATTTTTTTCCTTAAATTTCTATTATTATTATTAGTATTAGTATTATTACAAGGTTTAGTTCCAACTAGGACCTAATTCGTCAAGTTTGGCATAGACAAGCTTGCCCCAGTGAAGAATAGTCAACGTACATCACAACCATTTAGCTCATTGATTGAAATGATTTCACAAGTACCCTTTAACAAACGATTTAGCCCGGAAAAAACCAGACAGGTAGAAGAATTGAGAAGTAATCTGATTTAGTATTAAATCACAAAATTCATGTTGCTGCATTACCAGAGAAACATTCCATTCAATAGATGGAGTGCACTAGTCAGATTAAACATTGAGGGTTACTAATTCGTTTTTGTTACATTTGCAAGCAAAGTTTTTGTAACATTACATAAAATGTACATTTTCTACTCCAGTCTGTAAAACACCTAATTACACACAGATCTAGCGTGCGGGAAGCGTCACTTTACTACGTCAGTTTCGTTTCCCACTGGTCCGAGCTACTTCGGACATTTCCGGGATTTTACCGCACGGGTTTGGGAGCAATCGGATGTTTTCGGAGATATTTCACACTCTTTGAATTTTGACGTCTGTCAATTCTGACGGTCATGTCGGTGAATGTATTCTTGTTGTTTTGCGAAAATGTACCCAATAATTAACGGTCCTAGAAAAAGTATAGTATGCAACACGTTTAGTAAACTTCTTAAGTCACTCGTATATTAAACTTAAACACTCGCTCCGCTCGTGTCAAATAAACACATAATATACTACATACAATGTGTCCCAGATTCGCTTCTCTAACTTCTCTATATAGAGACCCCCTCTAATATATGTCTACAGCAAATGTTAAATGCACAAAATTTTAGAGGAAACTTGCATTTGATAACCGTCTTCAGATTTAGGATATTATGCAACAAGTGCGGTAAACGGCATTCGACTCAGGAGTTTATTTGACACGAGCGGACTCTAAAATAACTAATATTTGACGGGTTTTCTGTCATTCTTTGACGGAAGCACTGTTTTTCAGCCAAGCACATATTAATTTCTCACATTCTTTTGATGTTTGTGATGTGTTTGCCCTCTTATGCGCATCTGAAAATATTTTAGTTTTGAGAAAGACCGGTTTATATCTGTATTTTATAAAAAAAAAAGAAAGAACGAGACTGGTATTTTATATCCGCTTTTTAAGTAAAGTCTTGATATGACGCTGACAGTACTCTCTTGAAAGTGATCTTAGATGATCTACATGAATTATTAGTTCTTAAGTAATAATAATACCACAAAAAAATTACTGAAATGAAAGCACTGAAAGCAGTAAGCCGAACGGTGTAAAATGGGATCTTATAACCAAATATGTTATTTTTACGTTTTTTCCCTTAGATGAATCCGTGTTTTCTGTGGTATTTTTATAATAATAAAAACAAGTTGATTTGATTTCGGTTTTTTTTTAGGACTTGCCAACACTGACTTCGATGTAGATGTACACAAAAACGTTACCATTAAAATGTCTCCCAAAACACCACAAATCTAAAAAACCAAGTATTTTCCTTCTCAGTTGTTCAAAATTTATCTTTTTAGACTTCTATTCTAATGTTCCCATACTGGGGCAAGGGGATATCCTCAGGCCACCTATTTAGAGGATATCTGTGGTATATCGTGTACAGTAAATTCGCATTCAGAGGATATCCCTGGGATGTATTTTACAGTATATCCTTAGTATATATGCTAACGGATATCCTAAGAATATCCTCAACATGTCCGGTCACGTGCGACTTAAATGGGACATCGACCGGATATACTGGGGATATTGTGTGCTATCTGGGTAGGTATCGCCCCTATGCGTAAGACCTAAAGCTGAAACTTCTCATGTCAAAAAATCCCCAAGTAGCATTTTTTTTCCGAAATCAGCATTATTTAGACCATTATGCAGAAAAGTCAAAAACTCCATAAAGTTTATACCTTTCCCATTTTTTAGTCATTAAAGGAATTTCACAATAAATTCTTGTTAAAAATAAAAATTAATATGTGAATTTCTTTAGGAGAAATTACAGTGGGTGAGTGGAATGCAAATTTTATGATAAGGTAAGTGTCACACATAGTTGTTTTTCATTAGCAACTTTGATTTGCTTTTGCTCTCTTCGCATCCACCATTGGTTTGAAATTGTCGTGAAGATACCGTTAAAGCCCCGAGCACGGTCTGCGCTGATAGTCTCGCGACATGTGGCAGCCGCCGTAAAGCCCGATCTCGTTTGTTTTCCGGGGTAATTCGAATGAAATGGGACGAATAGCGGCCCGATAAAACACAAAAAGCGTTAAAGAAACATTAAAAACCACACGAAGACGTTTTGATGCTCTTTTTCGAAGAACCGTGTTGTGAATCAAAACGCCGCTGGAAAAACACATGACTGTCACTTCAATGCAGGACCGTTTGATGAATGGGAATAAGTGATGTGGGTTTTGCGTACGCAGGGGCGTAGCTGTTTAACAATGTCGCGGACTAATTAAATACGTCGCATCGTAATGGCAAATTACTATTAATAACTTGGTAAATTGCAATAATTTGTGGTCGTTTTGGAAGTGCGAAATTTTCAATGAGACCCTATCCATATTCACTTGATAATCAAAATAAGAATAAGTACACGTAGAGTTCGATTTGTGGGCTGAAAATTAATGAATTTGAATCACACGATCATGCCGTGAAACTGAAAATTGCCTATGTCTATCAAACAACCCAACGTTGCCAATTTCGATAAATACTGCTGTTCTGTTCTGTTTTGATTTGATTTTGTTAAAAGGAAGAAATGCAGTCAAATCTAGAATGAATTGGAAGTTTTCGTAGCTGGTGGGGTAAAGAAAATAACCACCAATCATCGAATTAATGTGACATGTGGTTTGGTAATTTTTCTTGATCTTACCTGAGAATACTTGACTTAGTTAAAGTGACTTAAAAATGTTGCGTCTGACGTAATATTGATGTCCAACATATAAACAACGACAAGTAAGATTCGGCATGGAGGGGACCTAGACACACAACGATTGTCTGATTTTCCTATTAACTCCTCTAAATTTACGGAAATATTATTCCGGTTTAGTGTAATATGTAGCAACGACAAAAATGGCTAATTAAACGTGACAAAATTCGTCGTTCCGTTGAGTTCCGACATTTTGTTAAATTTTGTTCTATTCCTAGCCAAACAACCAAACCAAACAACTGCCTGAAATTACTATAATAGTATTATATAAGTTTGATAAATGTCAATTTAGTCACGAATAATTTGATTTTAAACGATTAATAAACGATAATCGTTTATTAAGCACTCGTTCTGCTAAATTTGAGTTAAATCAAACTCGTAACTAAAGTGCGGTTTGTCAATGTTATTACATAATATACTATATATATGTTAAAGTCTGTTCATAGATATAAGAAAGTGACTAACTGATACGAATTAAGGAAAGACCCGGGCAAGCTGTAAGAATGAAATATGGCCGAACAGGTCCGTACTTTGCTTAGAATTTAATTATTTGGGGTTTTGTTAGGAAAGATACTAAACAATATTTTATATATTTATGTATGTATTTATGTTTAAATCTAAAATAAAATTACAAATTATTATTATTACCTACTTAAATTACTTAAAATTATGCACATAATATATCAGTATCACTATCGCTATCATCGCCTGTTCTAATTATTATTTGTTCTATATTATTTGCAATATGGATGTACGATTGTTCTGCTTTTTCTATATGTTTAACAGGATTTGCTCAACTTTGTGGAGGGATGTTAAAAACGTCGGTTTCTATAATTTTGAGGACATTGGAGTTAACGCGGGGAAAAACATTATTACGACGAATGGCAGCTTTCAGTTGGTGCCAAACATGTTCAATGGGATTAAATATATAGTGGTAAGGTGGAAGCCTTAAAATTGTATGCCCTCGATTTTTTGTATAATTATTACAGACATATTCCTTTTGTAGGTTCAAGCTTTGTAGAACCTCAATTAATTGATTTTTGGTATAATCTTCGTCAAAATAAATGTCGTTATTGTACATGTAGTTTTGGATTGTTGCTTTTGTGTCACATTAGGAAGGGGTTTTAGTCAACTGTCTACTGTGATAACTTTCATTGTCCATTACAATTACGCTATTAGGAGGAATGTTTGGAACTAGTTTGTTTTTAAACCAACTTTAAAAAAAAACTGCGGTGGTGTCTTCATGGTAATCCAGAAAAGAATCTTTAATATTTTTTGCAGACAGAGAAAGTCCATTTGGAATCCAATCTTTAGAGCCAGCATGCAAAATAATTATTCTTTTACCTCTTTTTAATGGCGCGTTTGTTTTACACTTATCAGTTAGGTCAACCCAACCCTTTTCCGGGGTATCATAAGTGTCGAACCAGGTTTCATCCAAGTAAATAATAATTGGCCTTTGCTGTTCTCTGTAAATCCTAACTTTTTTCTAGATA